AATTACTTTTAGCAATAGTAAATGGTAAAAAAAACTATTTTAGTATTGCACGCCAGTTTTATTTAAATTTATCGCTTTTAAATTGAGTTTAGTTTCAAGGTAAATTATCAGAATTGTTTGTGATGTGGGTGTCGTAAGAGCCGACTAAGGGAGCAAACTACGCAGGACAACAGCACTGCAAAGAGAAGGAAAACTTGAAACAAACCCTATACCAACTCGTCTGACCAGCGTGGTATAGTAGGCCAAAACCTTTTTTCTAAGGAGAGGCCTATGTCCAGCAGTGGACTATTATAGGCTGATGATGATTGATGATATATCCATATCAACACTAATATTATAAATACGAAAGTGTGTCTGTCTGTCGGCCTGTCTGTCTGTCACCTCCTTAACCGCTGAACCGATTTAAATAAAATTTGGTATAGAGATAGCTTGAGTCCAGGAAAAGGACATAGGATAGTTTTTATCCCAGAAATCATCCTTTAAGAGCACTCTCTTAAAGGGGTGGAAGTTTGTATTGGGAATTAATAATCACAGAACTGATTTAAATGAAATTTGGCATGGAGATAGTTTGTCTCTTTCTCTTTTAAAAAAGACAACTCCCGCATTAGGAAAATATCCTGTATCGAGGGGGACTTTACAAACATACATGAAACAGACACAAAGAACACCCAGACTCAGAACAACAATCTGTGGATCACAAAGTGTCGTCCCATGTGGGGATCGACCCACAACACTCAGCGTAGTAGTAAACCGCTTAAACCACTACGCCATCCGGGCAGTCAAGTCAGTTTGATTCTTATTGAAGGACATAGGCCACTATTAACCGCGATATCCGACAAACACTCAGTTCATTGAAGGTGGAAGCCAGTAAAGGTTTTTTTTTTGTTTATCCAGTATGTCGTATGAACTTCAATGAACTGAGTGAGCTAAACATAGCCTCTTCTAATATTCTTAAAATGTTCGCTTTAAACACTTGGGTAACAGTTATTAATCCTATCAAAATATCTATCTACCTATCAATATAGTTATCAATTCCTAAAAAATAATGTTGAATATATCAAATATGAAAAAAGGACTTATGAACCTAATTTTTTGACCAGTGAAGTCGTTAAGGAAATGAATATCAACTATGATGGATGGCGTAAAATTTATACAGATGGGTCAAAAAGTGTAAATGGGTTAGGGGCTGCGTTTTACCATCAGAATATTAATTATAAAACATGTTTTAAAATAAATGAAGATATTTCGATAATGTCCTTGGAACTCATTGCAATATTCTAATGCATTTGAAAATAAGTTCGTTAATATAGTTATTTTTACGGATAGTAAAAGTGCATTACAGCATTTGGCTCGATGCGCCTCTGGTATCAGAGATGCATATGATTTCTGGGATAAAAACTATTTTATGTTCTTTCCCGGGAATCGGACCACTTCTATACCAAATTTCATCTAACTCCGTTCAGCGGTTTAAGCGTGAAAAGGTAACAGACATACACACTTTCGCATTTATAATATTAATATGGGTATAAACAAAACTGAATATAGTTTCAACCGACGACGGATGGACTGTTAAAAAGCTATGTGGAACTTTTCTAGGTAACTTTTTTATGTAAGAAAGTTACACATAGATAAGTTGTCATTTATAACAATTAAGTAAAAAATTAAACCTTTCGCTTTGGTATTTCGACTGAAAACTACTAAGACACCAGCCAGAAACCAGTATAAATACATACTTAAATATTAAAAGTTAAAAATTTGTGTAAATTTGTAGTATTGGTACATATTGCTTACAAGAAATGTCGTATATTACGAGTAAGGTGGTCCCTTTAATGTCGTAATATCCGATTTTGACTATATCTTGGTAAGCACTAACATTAAATCAAAGTGCCTTGCACTGCATAGTAACGAACTTTTGCTCACGTAATTTTAGTAGGAGTTATTTGTGGTGACTCTCACTTACAAAGAAATAGAAACATACTACAGCGCCATCTAAAGAGGACAAACCGAACTATGGAGTAACTCCTGAATGAGAATTGCCAATCATGTATCACGATATGAAGAATTCTCTTACCTATTAACATATATACAACTTCCCACCATCAACCGTAGGGCAGCGGCCCGCCAGGAATGATTACCTCGCCTGGTCGGATAATCCTCCCTTTGTGTTGGAGGAACACGACACTCGTTCCTGAACATATTGATTTATATTTCTATTTCTTTTTCAGCAAAGTTTATTGTTAGCTGTTTTTTGTTTTTATTTATTAAATAAAAAAGTTACTGTTAAATAGAACAAATAAATAAAAATGTTACGGTCTATGGCAGAAAATCTAAGTTTTAAGCTATTGCATATCTTCTATCGCGGGCCTTGAGCGTGAAGACCGAATCCAGAAATTCCGTAACGAAAATAATCTAACACCCGCCACTCCGACCGGCACAGCGGTGATACTTTTTAGTTTTGCTATCTATCGATGAATAGCAGAACTTTTAATGACTTTTTTGAAATATCACGCTTGTCTCTTTAGTTCAGCAACTCGCCTCTAGGTGGCATCGGTTGTGACGCGGTATTTTTCAGATATTTAGAAGATATCAAGTCTCAAACTTATGTTTCTTATTTCAGTTACCATAAACCTATAGTTTCAATGATAAATATTCCTGAATAACCTACATGTATTGTAAGATAATAAAAATATTTTGAACAAGTTTAACTTCTCATTTATTTAATAAAAGAAAAAAAAAAGTTTTCTTATCGGTCACCACGCTCAAAAAGTGTAACTTGAATTAATATCAAAGAAAAAAAAACAAAGGAAAAAAAAATACTGCATAAATAAAATAAATAATTATAATTGCATAAGTTGATAAAAAATGCTATGCAATAGCTTTACCGCGGCAGTCCCCGAGTGCCACACGTCTTTTTATTTATTTTTATGGTACGAGCAGACGGGTTTAAGCAACTACTACCGCCCATGGAGACCTGCAACTCAAAAGTCACCAGTGCTTTGCTGCCTTGCCTTGAAGTCCCTCCCGCTCGAGTCAGCGGGAGAGGGGAAAGGCAACGAAAGAATTGCTTAACACCGGTTTTCTGCGAGGCCGTGGTATCACTCCGGTCGAGCCGGCCTTTTCGTGCCGAAGCATGGCTCACCCACGGTTACATGAATTTTTTTATTGTAACGAGCTGGGAAAGTACACGGTTAATTTAATTATCACCAAAATTAGCACTGTATTTATAAACGCTTACTATTACAAATAAGAAATAACTAAATAACTCCTTGGTCTCGCTAGGGAATCGCTGTTAATCCGCTGTGTCGTAAAACAACACACTCAGCTTTTATAGGGCTGCCAAAATAACCAGAATAATCACTAGGATTCGATAGAGCGTTCCAGATAATAAGGAATTTTCCAGTACTTATAATAATCTTTCGTTACCCGATAGTAGATAGCGCTGCAAGTACCGGAATTGTGAATCGTAACCTCAACGCGTAGTGTTCGTCGTTCATTACTTGATACTAGATGGCGCTGTCCTCGGGATTCCATTCGGCACTCGATTGTACATGAACTAACTACACAACACAAGAACCATTTAGTCCTGTGGTACAGCATTATTAATTTGACCTCTTTGTTATACAATACATATATTTTTCTTTATTCTGTTTAACCTAAAATTGACAGAAGTACAAAAGAAATGTATACACATCACTTTGACATGTGTAAATAAATTATTACGATGGTGTGGTGAGGAAAAATTCTAAAATTCATCTATTTTATGTTGTATTTTGTTTGTTTGAATGTATTTTATACGTGTTTTTATGAATCTCACTTTATAATGTAAGTATTTTTTATTTTCATGAATAAGTCCGAGCTATATCACATGTCTGGCGATCTACTTGGTGTGGTGGTGCTAAGTTCAACTGCCATCAGACCTCCACGATCCTGGGTCTTAGAGGTCTGAAGGCGGTAGCTTTACTGACTAAAAGCCGTCCCCAACATAGTTTGGGAAAAGGCTCGGCAAATGAGGATGAGGCATATGTAGACGAGTATGTATGAGTTGTATGACTATGTATGAGAGAGAAGGAAACCAGTATGGTGTTCTTCGAAAAGGGTGTTTACAGAGCTTTAATGGACCGGCAACTTGGTCGTGAGTCTCCTAGAGTTTCCTGGGAGTCATCATTATCAGCCTATCGTAGTCCACTGTTGGACATAGGCCTCACGCATTGGACGCTACTTCGATCGATTTTCAGCTCTTCACATCCAACTCCTGCCGGCCATCTTGCGCAAATCATCTGGGAGGATAATTTTGGGAAATACTGATTTATTTAACCGTTAACCTAATTTTTTTGTTATATTATGTATGTCTATTTGTAGCGTATTTAATTTTCAGGCAAATAATTAACGCCGAGGATTGGCAGAGCTGCATCTGCCCTAATATCCAATTCTGTCTGCGGAGGCTCCTCAAAATGGTGGTAAGTTGCCTTAGGAAAAGAGAGGTCCAGTAAAATGTCATTGAAACGCCTTTTAATTGAGTGGAAAATTAATCTCAATTAACATCTTAACATATCTTTATGACATTAAATTTCCCTGAATAATCGTGTGGGAGAGAAGTGATTAGACACAAATGGGCTAGCTCGATCGGAGTGACACCAGGACCTCACAGAAAACCAGTGTTCCAAACAACCTCTCAGAAAATTAGAACCAGAAAAGCAGTTCTTTCGTTGGTTTTCACCAAGTGAATGTGGTAACCTGATGGCACGCCCCTTTCACCCTTACTCTGGGGGTGACTGGCAAAGAGCAGCTACATACTAGTGCCTCTCAAGTTGCAGGTGTCTATAAGTGACGGTAGTGACTTACCATCAGGCGACCCGTCTGCTTGTATGGCCATTGCATCATACAAGACAATTTCACTAAACGTAGAAGTTCAAGTAACTCAGATCACGTAGTTATGGATTATGGATGTTTATAATTCCATCAAATTTCCAGCGCAAATCTCTTCAAAGTAACTAAATGCGATGGAGGGTGACACTGGCGCTGGTGGCGCCAGCCACAGAGTCGCGGCCATCCTGCAGGGTCTGGAAGAATCTGGAGTAGTTCTCACTATGGTGGGCAGCCAGAGAGACAATCAGTATAGAAGGAATTTTTCAACTTCAAAGCCTACATTAGCAGGTCAGTAGTCCCAGTAGCAAAACAATCCAGATTATCAGCTGACTTGGAATATTTTGCCAGTATTTGCACCAACCTGCCGAAAGTAATGGAAAGATATGGAAGTATTTTATTCGTATTTAGGATCCTGGGTATCAACCTGCTGAGCGCAGAACTGGCCATAAGAAGTCTTTTTGTGAGTTTTTACTTCTTTACGCAAAGTCTTAAATCAAACTATAGATCTTTTTAATAACTGTATGATTTGAGTTCTTGAATGTTCGACGTCATCAACCATGGATATCCGTGTGGTGCCGGATTAATTGTACGGAATGTTACCACCCCTATTCATCCCATGAGTGTCGTAAGAGCCGACTTCATCATCATCAATCATCAACAGCCTATAAGAGTCCACTGCTAGACATAGGCCTCTCCTTAGAAAGGAGATTTCGGCCTACCATACCGCGCTCGCCAGACGGGTTGATATAGGGTTTGTTTCAAGTTTTCCTTCTCTTTGCAGTGCTGTTGTCCTGCGTAGTTTGCTCCCTTAATCGGCTATTTTTCGTCCTCTGCCTCGGTACGAACTATTTAATATAAAAACTATAAATAAAACAAAACTCTCTTCAGCAGTGAAGCCAGTTGTTCTAGAAAGATGTTCAGTGGAGACTAACACGGATTTCTCCGTGTCTAACAACTCTAACCGTGGGGTGCAGATATCTGACGATAGGTACACCAGCTGCTACCAGGTATGTTTGATACCTCCAATTCCAGCCTTAAAAATAGCTGTACTATTCAGTAAGTAATAGGTTAAGCCTGAGTTCATAACAGCCAGAGTTGTCGTTCATTCTGTCGTTCGTTGATTGTCGTTCGATCAATGGTTCTTCGTCAACCAAATCTTATACGGTCTAGACCATATACTCATCTGATTTGTCTTACGCTAAACCTCACAAAAATGTTGACAATTTCGTTGACATAGGTGGCACACTGCAGCGTGAGACCCAGTTCTCCTCCCGTTACGGTGTCAGAGTTTCCACCTCAGCGTTCAAGTCCTAGCTATTGTAAGTACAATGTTTTGAATCTTTGTAGAAGAAAACTGTTTTTACTTGGAATTAGGGGTGAATACACAGACTAAATGATTCAGTTTCTTAAATTTTTGTTATCAACATCATCACAGTTGACGGCAACTTCGAAGTAGGTGGCAGTGGGAGCTGTGACAGAAGAGAATCGTATTCCAGGTCCATTCGTATCAGACGGCTGACTACTCCAGATAGAAGTAAGGAATCTTTAAAGTTCTTTATTGCAGACCATGGTATCCAATTGGTTTGTAACAATATTCTAAGGGAGACTAGTATTAGTACAGTACACAAAGAAAACAAACCACAAAACAAAGTAAAATAGATATACATAAAGGACACATAACATACATGTATGAGAAACACAACAATCATTGCTGCGCCATTCTGTAAGCGAATGATTGATGTAACTACAGTTCAGCCGACGGGCGATCATGTTCAGGATACTGTTGGCGCTGCCGCCCACCCACCGCACCATACCGGTGTGGCGTAATAAAAGCAATTCACGCTATGTTCAGCGCAAATATCCCACATGCACTACAGAAACGCTGCAGCCCCATCAGCATCCTTTTTAGTTTTTGCCGGCAAGATCATCATCAGGGATTGTACATGTTTAGTACGTTAATGAATTAAGAAAATAAATTACATTCTTTTGCGTCTACATACCGACATTTTTATCGATCATAAATACCTTCCTTTATATAAGAACCACAGATCTTTATTTTTTTATTTCTTGACTCTTTTTTTTTATCTTTATTCTTGACTGGTGGTGTAGTGGTAGCGTATGCGACTGCTGTTCTGAGGTCTCGGGTTCGATTCCTGGGTCGGACCAAATGTTTGTATGATCTGCAAATGTTTGTTTCGGAGATTGGGTGCTTTCTATGTATAATATGTATGTAATTATTCTATCAGTCAATCTAGCTTTCATAGTATAAGCTCTGCTTAGTTTGAAACTAGATAGCGTTGTGTGGCAGATGTCCGAAAAATATATTATAATATTATTTTAGAATCTCAAAAACCTCGAGCTCAAATCTGGTTGACAATATTTCCATTGCAGGATCTGTCAACAGAATACCATCTCGAGATGCAGAAGCATTTGCACATTCGTTGCGAAAGTATCCAAGCTTTCCTGTACTGAGGACTGTCTCTAGCGAAATTGTGGCAAAACTTCAGAGATCATTCCGCAAGCATGCAATACTTTCAACGAACAGGACACCGTCAGGCGAGCTCGTGGAGAGGATTCTGAGGCAAACTCAAGAGAAACTCTGTTAGTTGACTTCTTAAATTAATCTAAATCTTTATTAAGTTGGCGTGTGCTGAATATAAAAATAATTTGACGGGCCTGATGGTCTAGTGGTTAGTGACCCTGACTGCTAAACTGGAGGTCGTGGGTTCGATTCCCACCCAGGACAAATACTTGTGGGATGAGCACGTTCGTTTGTTCTGTGTCTGGGTGTAATTTGTCTATATATATGTATGTATTTAGAAGTATATAAATATGTTTATCAGCAGTCTGGTTCCCATAGTACAGGCTCTGCCTAGTTTGGGATCAGACTGCCGTGTGTGACACGTGTAAGGTTATTATTATTATAATTTTTCACCAGCTCCCGTCCAAAAGGTAAACAGCATTCGGTCGTTACAAAAAGAACGGTCAAGATGGAAGCAGCCCATACATACGCAAGCGCACGCTAAAACTCAAGATGTATTGGACAACAGAAGAGTGGACAGACCAAGAACTGGGAGGAAAGAAGACGAAAGTAAAGCCAGGAAACACATGCGGAGTGATGATTCACATCGATTGAATAGAAGAAAATGCAAGAGGTAAGTATATATTGGACAGAAATCGTTTTTGGTGACTCTTAATTAAATGTCCGTGTAGTGACGGATTAAGAATACGGAATGTCACTACCCCAATTCATCCCGTGGGTGTCGTAAGAGCCGACTAAGGGCGCAAAACAACGCAGGACACCAGCACTGCAAAAAGAAGGAAAACTTGACACAAACCCTATACCAACCCGTCTGGCCAGCGTGGTATAGTAGGCCAAAACCTCCTTTCTAAGGAGAGGCCTATGTCCAGCAGTGGACTATTAAAGGCTGTTGATGTGTGAATTAAATGTTAATGGTAGACAGACCAGCTTTTGTAAGATTCTGCTACTGAACATAAGACAGCTAGACATTTATTTCTCATAATGATCATTTCCAGAAGTTTCCACTCAGTGTTTCCTAGTTTGGTAATATTTTAATTTTTTATAGTATAGGGGGCAAGCGAGTAGATAGGCAAATTGAAATACAATTAATCAATGGCGAATATTAATGATGCCAAACAGTTTGTCGATCCGTAATATTCCACCAGCAACAAAACAAGCTTCTTCTTCCGGAGTGGTCATCCTTACGTAGTAGTAAGCCTTCTTAATGGGGCAAATTAGCAGTATCAGTGTTGCCACCGCTTTTTGTATTCTAGTCAATCAGCAATCATGTCTAAGTGAGGCACCGTTCAGCCTTCAGCCAAGTTATACGAGAATGACGTTCTCAGATTTTTACAATCTTAGATGTGCATCTAAGTAATAAATTGACAGACAAACAATTCTAAAACAATACCCTTGGCTCCAGTCTGTATTTTTTTTTGCAGTTAAAGTTTTTTTTAGCTTTTTTGTCAGTCTCCTTAAGGAGGAAAGTGACAATGAGACATCCTCTTTTCAGCCATACAGAGAGTCTCCTGAATACGACGTATGACTACTTGAAATCTACGCAGCCTTCCCGTTCGTGTCATGCTCGCCGTTTCGATAGAGACCCTCGAATTGATGAAATCAGCAAACACGTACGAAGTGCTCTCAGAGAGATATATAACCAACGGTCTGTGGTAGGTACACCATACCATTTCTTCAAAGTTGTCTTTTTTTCAGCTGAGGCATAGCTTAAATGCAGGTTTATGTATTTGACGTGCATGTTTTAATGTTTATGGTTTTAGACAAGCCCATAATAGTGGTTAGGTAGTGAAATAAGTGAGTGTGAAAGCCCAGATATCAGGGTCAGGGAGATTCCCCAATACTGGACACAGATGGTGTTACTTGGCGCTCTTACGGTAGCCTTGTACTGGGGACTTCAAGCCAAAAACATGTGATTGTGTAGAGATTGCCGTTTATTAGACCTAACTTACTTACCTTAGTAGACCTAACTCTTTATTCTCTATCGCTTGTATCATAGGAAGTGCGCCGATGAATTGTTCGGCCTTATACCAGCCGCAGGTTCCTGTCATCACCATCACTTAGATACTCGGTATTCCACCACTTTGTGCACTTATCACGAAAAACCAATCTTTTGAAGAAATTGTCGCCTGCGTCATCTGCCGACCGATACGATTTTGAAGCTTTCTAGGAAAAAGCGTACTCTTAACTCAAATGCCAACTCTATTCGCAACGAATTGGATTTGTTTGCTGTATAAATTTGTTTTAGCTAATAAGTTTATTGTCTTTCTATTGTTTGGTTTGTAACTCAACCTTATCAATATTCTTTTAACATTTTCAAAACTTGTTTTAATACTGACTACGTAGGGTACCTGATCTGTTTTATGTCGTATAATTTAAGATATGTCTTGCAGGATTCTCATCCAGTAGATGTCAATGTTTGTTTGTTGAGCATTTGTAATTGTACATCAGTTTTGGGAATTAAATAAAAAAAAGGCCGGCAACACACTGACAACTCTTGAATGGCAGGTGTCTATGGACAGCTTAGTCACTTGACATCAGGTAGCCCTTAACCCGTTTGACCATTTGCCTTCTACGTTGGAAAAAAAAAATGGTACCAACACCAATCAATTTATCGCAGTTCATTGACATAGGCCAGCCAAGCTTTATTCTCAGCCTGTACGCATGGTACAGAAAAACTTAGCAGCAAATAATACTGCTGTTTGTATATTCCAGGTATTCCCAATGTGCTCCAAGGTTCAGAGAAGATATGATGACCACAAGAAACATTGTTCTGGCAGGGGTGTCGATGCAAGGGTACATATTATTAACATTTTAATAATAAGATCTTCCAACATCTCACACACGGTAATCTGACCCCAAACTAGGCAGAGCCAGCCAGAATACTGATAAACTTTTTTTTTTTTTAAAAGACAACTCCCGCATTAGGAATATATCCCGTGTCGCGGGGAACTTTACAGACATACATGAAACGGACACAAAGAACACCCAGACTCAGAACAACAATTTGTGGATCACACAAAGTGTCGTCCTATGTGGGGTTTGAACCCACAACACTCGGCGCAGTAGGAAGCGGCGTGGCGACCGCTTAAACCACTGCGCCATCCGTGCAGTCACATACTTACTTCACATACTTATATATTACTAAATACATATATATTACAGGCAAATTACACCCTGACGCAGAACAAATTATCGTCCCCATCCCACAACAGAACGAACCCACGACCTCCGATTTAGCAGTCACGGACACTGCTGTATTTAAAAATATATACGTATGTTTATCAGCAGTCTGGTTACCACAGTACAGTCACCTCTGTCAGTGTGTTCAGTCTGGAATCAAACGGCCGTGTGTGAAATGTGTAAAATATAAATTAAAAAAAAAAACAACCCGCGCTTTCCCGCCTTCTTGTAATACACCTCCGACCCTTGAATTCAGAACAGCGAGAGCAATGATTTTACATTTTAAAACGTATTAGTAGTTATGTTGATTACATTCAGCCTACTACCTAGTCTTCCACTACTGAACGAAGGCTAAAAGAAGCACCAACTATGCCGGTCTTCGGAAGCCTTCATCCATCCGCTGCCAGCCACTTTAATTAATTTGTCTGTCCTTCGTGCCACACAGCGCCGTATACTACGTTGATTATAGTTATTTAATGTACTATAGAATTTATATTATTTATTGTTTCAGATGTCAAACCACCAGCAGAAAATAGGTAACTGTTCTTTTTTTTGTCTTTAATTTTAAACATGTATAAACTCGTGAAAATAAGTCTTTAAAAAAATCAGGAGGTTAAATTCTAATGAACAATTTTATTGAGTGAGTTTATCCCTTTTTTCTCATGAGGCTCAACCCCTAGGAAATGGGCGGTTGTAGATCGGCACAGGCATATAAGAGATTTTAGATTCGTATGTATTTAGTTTGTTAAATATTTGATAAAACAGAGATTGTTGCTGTTGTGTGTGTTGATCTATGACTAGTCTACACAAGAGACGATTTCAAATAATTTAAAAAAATAAATGAAATAAAGATATTTGAATTTATTGAAAGTTACTATCTCTTGAATTTAAAGTTTGTAAACTTTAAATTTAAGATTGAAGATGCTTTTTTCTGCATAAAGAACCAATTTAATGTTATAATGATTAAATTTGCATGCGACACATTGCTTGCGGCTGTTGTGAGGCCACATGATGTGCCTTGTACCTAACTATCATAAGATCCTATATTGTTACCAAGTTTAGGAGGATTAACATGGTTCCCACACGGGGGGGGGGGGGCGTCTCCTCGACTGTAGATGGCCCGAGGTATGCGGGGCATCAGGGACTTCCTTTCTAGGGTATACCTGGTTCCTGGCTATTAGTACCCGAGGCGGCGTGCGGTTTTAGCCGGTTCGAGTCCGACATGCCACCGATAGGTGGTATCCGAGGGGATTTCCGCACGGAAAAAAAGGAGGATTAACATGCATACATATACTTACGCTTTATTCCCTACTGGGGTGGGCAGAGACGACAGAACGCCATGAACGATAGAGTGAGGCGTGAGTGTTTTTGAGATTTTCAACCGACTTTCAACTGGAAACAAAAACTGAAAATATAAAGAGGTTCTATATTAGTGGTATTTTGTAGTTTTTGAGTTTTGGGTCAACTCACTCACCCGGTGAAAAGCTTCCAAAGAAGTGCTTAACACCGGTTTTCTGTGGGACATGGTATCACTCCAGTCGAGCCAGCCAAATCAAATGTTGTGAAAGTCTGCATAAACGCCAAATTAGTTTGTTAGTTAGTATTTAGTTACTGCTCTGCAGTTAGGATGGCATAAAATCACAATCATCAACTACACAATTTATAAATCATATAATCACACCTGTGACTAATTTACAAAAGCACTTCGACTTGTTATTATTATTACTTTCGATTCGCAAAAGGTATAAATCTGAAAACAAGCTAATTATTGAAAAAACAAAACAGCCGACTGCGGGAAATGTGAATCCATCAGCCTGCAGAGCGTGCCAAACATTGGGATTTGGCGCCAAAAATCCGCCATTTTGTTTTTTTTTATTTTGATATACCCAGTGTCACTCTCACAGTAAATACGAATATAACGACACCTCTCAAGCCAAAATCCATACAGCCGTTCAGGCCGCAGAGCGTGCCATAAAATAATACATACATACATACTCTCGAAAAACATAACCCTCCTTTTAGCGCAGTCGGGTAAAAAGGATTTTATTGATTTTAAATTCATTAATGTTTGTCTATGACCAAATCTCGATCACACGTGAAATCGCAGTGACTAAAACCAATCACTTCTACATATGATTATGATATACATAAGTATAGCAATCATTTCCATGTCTACTTGACTCAACCCATGGGGGGGTTGAAGAGTCGTTAAGTAGCCTAGGTTGTCCTTTATACGTATAACTGACATCAAATCCCCAAAAAAGGCTAGAGCTAAGAGGCTAAACCTAGTATAGATCGTGTGGTGTGTGGTCCATGTGGTGACGGATTAAGAATACAGAGTGTCACCACCCCTATTCATCCTGTGGGTGTCGTAAGAGACGACTAAGGGAGCAAACTACGCAGGACAACAGCACTGTAGAGAGAAGGAAAACTCGACACAAACCCAATACCAGCGCGTCTGGCTAGCGTTGTATAGTAGGCCAAAACCTCCTTTCTAAGGAGAGGCTTATGCCAAGCAGTGGACTGTTAAAGGCTGTTGGTGATGGTGATGACAGAAGGTAGACATAAAATGTCGAGAAATATTCCATTTATATCTCGATCACAATAATTCATCAACATCGACACATCGACAAGAATTATCGATAATCACAGAAACTATTTTAATATAGGATAGGTATATTATTACAAATTATCTACAAATCGGTACACAAGTATGTTGATATATGTTTCAATCTGCAGCTTCTGCCTCGGGGCTGTATCGATTACTAGATCTGCTCAGTAGCTACCTGTCACCAGGCCCTTGTGTGAGTATTAATACTATACCTACATATATATTGTATACTAGCTGGTATCCGCGACTTCGAGTGGTGTAGGTATCTGAGAAGAAAAATAGTCCCAAGTTACTACTTATATAGACAGCCAGCTGGTAGTAAAATAGTATCATAATGGGTCCAGCTGTTTTGAAGATTACCCGGCACAAACAGACAAAAATATTTAAACTATTTTTTTAGGCATAGGTATCGTGTAAACAACTGTGTGAGCATGAAAAAAGCCTTTCATTTTGACATTACAAACAGACACTCCAATTTTATTTATTTGTACTCGTACACAAATGCGTATAGCCTTAACAAATGCACACATCAAAAAAGTCTAAGCGGCATGTACGGTTTTGAACTTTTAAACGATTTTTACTATTTTAATATATTTATAATTCTTTTATAAATAATAACTAAGCATTCTTTGATGATTTAGTAATTAAAGAAACAAGATTCTACATTCAATTGGTCCTTTAAACACAATAATTAACAATACTATATGTACCGTAACATACGAAGTATAAAAAAGTTAAAACGAAAATTTAATAGTGCCTTTGTATCTATCTGTGAATTGCAAAAGAATGGCCATGAGTTTGTTTGCCCTTTCTTCTCATAAGGCTCAACCCCATGAAAACGGGCGGTTGTAGATCGGCACAGGCATATCATAGATTTTGTCCACCGAGGCGGCTTGCGCCTTGGCCGGAACACCCCCGTGGGATTTGGAGGCGGAAGTGCTCGCCGAAGTGTATCGGCGAGTGGCTGACTTCCGGGCGGAGAGCGGATTTCGCCCTCCGCCCGAAGACGTGCGCGATTGGCGCGAAGCTGCTCGCCGAGGCACCGTGGTGAGATGGTCGTTCCGGCTGGAGACTCCACGCGCTGGCTTCGCCGCCGTGGAGGCTCTCCAGCCGGTCATCGCTGAGTGGGCAGGGCGGCAGCACGGGACCCTTACCTTCCGGCTGACGCAGGTGCTTTCCGGGCACGGTTGCTTCGGAAAGTACCTGTACTCGGTCGCTAGGAGGGAATCGAGTCCCGCCTGCCACCACTGCGACTGCAGTGAGGACTCGGCCCACCACACGCTGGCGCATGGGCGACGCAGCGCCGGGCCCTCACTGCAGTCATCGGAGCAGATCTCTCGCTACCGGCCGTAATTCGTTCCATGGCCGGTAGCGACAGTGTTTTTACCGCGGTCGCAAGCTTCTGCGAGGAGGTAATCTCGCAGAAGGAGGCGGCGGAGAAGGCCCGGGAGGACGACCTCCACTCGAACCCGATCCGCCGCCAGCGAACCGGGCGGAGGAGGCGCGCTTACCTGCGCCTCATGCCGCCCTGAGTGTGGCCGCGGGTGGACGGGATGGGTTCTCCCCTCCACCCGCATTAGTTTGGCCAGCCGCGAGGGGGCGGCGTCCGCGTGTGCCGGACATCGCCTAAAGAGAGGAAAATTTTTTGAGACGGAGCCCGCAACAGGAGCGGGCCGGCGCTGGGAGGGGTCCAGAAGGCGATAACTACCTGGACCCCTCCTAAACTGGAAGCGCAAAGAGGGCACACCGTGTGGTTTTAGTCGATTCGAGTCCGACACACCGCCCCGCCGAACTGAGAGCCCCGGCGGGGTGATGGTCCGAGGGGATTTCTACACGTTAAAAAAAAAAAGGCATATCATAGATTTTGTATGGGTTTGATTTTTGTTAAATTTATTTGCTAACTATTTGACAAAACAGAGATTGTTGCTTTTGTGTGTGTTGATCTATGACTTTAGAGTCTACATAAAAGACGATTTCAAACAATTTTGAAAATTTTATGAAATAAAGAGAGTTTGAGTTTGAAACTCTTCATGTTTTACAAAATTAAATAACGACATTTTTTTATTATTTTGTAAATCAATACGAATTGTGACTGGCTCTCTCTCTGTTTAAAAAGTTGTCGGCAACGATTTTTCTTTGTATTTATAAGATTGTTTATCTGATCCCGCGGCAATCGCTCCCAATGGGATTTTAACAAGTCTTTCAGTTGTTGGGTTGTCGACACTCCGTCAAGTTCTTTAGAACACGTCTTCTAGAGACGTGTTCTAAAGAACTTGACGGAGTGCATGTTCCATGCGTGCTTAATTTGATTGAGGTCTGTTGATTGAGGATATGGATTGGCTCCGGGCTGTGTGCGAACGCGCATTGTCATGCATCAGCGTGAAATCTCAGCTGAAACTTTGTGCAAATGGGTGAACATAAAGCGCGTGGACATCTTTAACGTAAGTTTCAGCTTTCATATTGCCATTTACAAAAGTGAGCTCAGTTCGTCTGTTCTTCATAATAGCTGCTCCAGCACTGTGGAGCCACTGTAAGGGTGCACTTCCTAACCTACAACGGTACTCTTACTTTTCTCGTGTCAGGCCCAAATCCAAACTAGGACTTAATTTTATCCCATTGCTTCTGGTTCCACGTCAAGTGTTAGGTGTGGTACTTGGGCGTCGCGTTCGTAGGCCGTATTCTGGCAGCCTGTTTCTCACAGTTTGGTGGCTAACAATAACACTGCTTTAGAATTGTAGCTTTAAACCTTTCTCCCGGGCGGTTAACGTCGGTTCACATCTTACAGTTAGTTGTATACTCGTATATAGGTCCTGTGAAGCTGTTTCACGTCCTGGGTGCTGCTCAGCAAGGGGTTTAACGCTAAAACACAACGCTGCCAAAGACGACAAATTATGCTCCTTTTGACACCAAAATGCCTAGATACGTGGGACGGAATTCATCCCGGTTGTAACATTCCTACAGCTCTCTGCATTTCATCAGATGTCAAATGGCCATTGCTCCATGACATAAAAATACCTCACCACTCAACTTTAAAAAAAAACTAGGTATCTCAAAATGTTCAAAGTGAGATAGATACCATATTTATCAAGCATCGAACACATGAAGTGAAAGAAAAAATAATTTCCTTTTATTTTAATGAAAACAAGACGCAATCGAAAATCTATTTTTAAGATCAGCTTGTAATGTTTGCGAAGTCAAAGAGGATTGTATACCAATCTACTTAGCTAAGAAAAAGATGACATGCAGTTTCTGTAAATGATGAGTGTTGCTTAGATTTTTATGATGTGTGTATTAAACCTTTTGCCAATTGTAATTTTAGACACTACGAGGCAGACCAGTTCTTTTTCTATAAATAGGTTTAGTTAATTAAGTGTACCAACAGCATGTATAACCGTTATTTTCTCTTTTATCCAGAACATATCTAAGCTCTCCAATAGTTCTGAAGAACAATTGTTTAGCAACCGTAATAAGGCATCTCAGTATTTTCACAACGATGCAGGGTGCAGATGTGGGTCAGACCACACGGACCCCAATCGTGTCGATAGCACGTGTAATTGTAGTCCAACCTACGCCGAAGAATATTCTAGATATAATATTCAAGAAGAAATTCATGCTTGGCTATCTGAAATTCCCGTTCGTAGTAACGAAGATACAGAAGATAAATTAAGAAGAGAAGACTTGGTCAGAAATTTAGTGACGACATTAGAAAGGCTGCTATACGATGATAATTTTGAAGAAAATGTAATAAATGCGGTTACTGAATGTGTTGATGCAATGCCAATGTGGAACTTTGGCTCTAGACAAAAGAAAGACCAGCTTACAGAACATTTAAAACAAAATCTTTTAGATAGATTAATCCCAAAGCCTGAAAGTAAACTATCAGAAACTGTAAAAAAAATCTTAGTCAACGTTAATTTTAAACATGAAGTAGATACAAAAAGAATATCTGATGATCTAACAGATGCTCTTCACAGTCTCACTGTTTCTGAAAGCAACGACCAACATAAATTCAATATATTCGTATCTGAGATTTTTAAAATCTTAGAAAAATTACCTATCAAGGTAAATGGTGATAAAGGGGAATATTTAAATAATCTTGCCAGAAACTTAGCAAATGAAATGATAGAAGTGTTAAAAGATACTTCAGATTCATCAAAATCCGATGCAAAATATTCCATGAGCAACAGAAAACATATGTTGCACAATTGCGTAAGTAATATCTTGTACTGTTATTGCCTTGTTTTATTCTATAAAAGTTCTATATTCTAGTATATTCATCTATTCTTCTATTTATCCAGAGCTTGATGGGACCATGCAAGCGAGCTGAATTAAGGCCATTTTACAATCGGAAGAGATTTTCCCAATACGGTTGTGATTCAGACACATGTGAATACAAAAGCCAAAATACTAACAAACGTCAACTATGTGATTGTTGTCCAAAAAGTAAAAGAAATGTAAACTGTGTTTGTATAGCAGAAGTGAAAAGAACTAGCCACCCTTGTGATTGTGAATCTGAAGAAGTATACTTTAACGAATGCGTCGATGAAGAAATTGAAGATTGGCTAAATCAAATCCCAGTTCCTATAAATGAGAGTGAAGTTGATACAATGATAAGAAAACATGCAGCCAAACATTTAGCTGAAGCTTTGAAGCAGCTGCCTGATGATAATAATTTCAAAGGACATGCACAAGAAGTAATTGAAAGATGGATAAATAATGTGTCAATATGGCAACCTGATACTGAACAAGAAAAAATTAAATTAAAAAGATTAGTAACGGAATCACTCTTAGATAGAATAATCACAATACCTAGGCGACCCGATAAATTAACAGTAATTGTTAAGAAATTTATTGGTTCTATAGATCTTGGAGATAGTAATGTAAATAGAAAAGAATTAACGAACAATTTAACTAAAAGACTAAAATATTTAACCGTTACTCCTGAAGATAGCGATAAATATAGAGATTTATTAATATCGGAAGTAATGGAAATATTTAAATACTCACTACCACAGACGAGTAACGCTGACAGTGAATATTTACATAAACTTGCAACAAAACTGGTAGAGGAAATAATAAACAGCGAGAGCTATGTAGATATATATGCTGAGGACACAACAAGCTTGAAAGAGGATATTATCAAAAACTTATTTGATTGGATAGATGAAGTAACCGAGTTAAGTGAAACTCCTCCAAACATGAAAGAGGCTAAAAGAGTCATAGATGAATTGGCTACAAAATTAGTTGATTTGCAATCTATAGGCACAGATACATCTACCATGAAGAAAATGGGAAATGAAATACAAAGTAGTTTAAAAAAGCTTAATATATCTACCAAAGCAATGGATAATTTAATCGAAAATGTAATAGATACTATAACAGATACAACTTATGCTAAAGACAAAGTTAAACTCGAAACAAATCACAGACGAGAAGTTTTAAGAGACTTAAATGATTGGTTGAAAGATAAAGAAGAAGTGAGTAACTTAAACCCTCAAGAACAATACAGTGTAGTAAAAGAAATAGTAGACAAGATCGAAAAAGCAAAAGCTGAGGGTCACGAAGATCATCAAGATATTATATTAGAAAGTTTAGCACAAAATGGTTATTATATGGACCCCGATGTACATCTTGATGAATTAGTAAAGAAGTGGAAGACTTTCTCAGCAAGACACAAAGAAAAATATTTAAAAGATAAAATCCAAAAAAGCGTTTACCCCGTAATTGACAAGTTGAATGTATCTGAAGACAATAAGATCTATATTAAGGATAGGCTGGGTAAAGAATTAGACAACAATATTACAGAATCATCCATAGCCACTAGAAAAGGCATAGAAAACATAAATGAATCATTATTGGAGAAAATGGATGAAATCGTTGAGGAGTTACATTTACCCAAGAATATAAAAGATCAATTCAATGAAACAATAAATAAAAATATTGAACAACTAATGACGTCAAAAAGTAGAGATGCCATCGTCCAGGCTTTGACAAAAGAAATTAATTACATTATCTCCAACGAAGAGATACCAGAGAGTGAAAAAAAACATTTGAAATTGAGATTGAAACATATGCTTAATGAGTATTCAGGAGTTCCTTTTTCTAACTATGTCACAGACAACATTTTTGAAAATATTGATCAAATAATAAACGAAGAACCAATTGAGAGTACTGTTAAGGAAGGGCTAATTAATAAATTAATATATATTGCACAAAATAAATTTAACGAATTACCGACTCAAACTGTAAAAAATCACGTGACAGAAAAAGCATTAAAAGACATAGACTTAACTATTGAAAGTGCTCCATTAAAAGAAAATGTAAAAAATGATCTAAAGCAGATGTTAAAATATATTCTTAACGAGAATTTAAAACAACCGTTCTCGGCTGAAGTGAAAGAATCTACATTAGAACAATTTCATGAAACTCTTAATGATCTATTGATTCCTGATGTAACAAGGAATGATCTCTTAAAGAAAATTACTAATATCGTCAGTCAAAACTTAGATGAACTTCAGTGCCAAACAGAAATAGATCACGCCAAAGAAATGATCATGAATGATTTAAACGATTTGATAGACCACTTTTTTCTTCCAAAAGGTCAAGCCACTCAATTAAATGATGGTTTAAGACGCCTATTAGCTGAATATTTAGACCGCCCTTACTCAAACGATCTTAAAGAGAAACTGACTGCAGCAATTAATAAAGTCATTACCGAAACACCAATGGATTTCGACAAAAAAGAAGAATTAAAATTTAAAGTAATAGACACAATTAACAAGCGTTTAGATAACTTAACATACCAAAGTGCTGAAGAATTTGCAAAAGAATCAATACTAAAAGATATAATGCGTATGCTTAATGAAACCTCGTTGCCCAATTCTGAAAAGCATGATATAAGACATAAATTTGAAGTTATAATTGAGGATTGCTTTCCCCTTGCACATTTAGATGCTGCAAAGAATGTAATGGGGGAAGGCATACGACAGACCATCTACGTATCTTCAATACCGCAGTCTAAACAAAATGAGTTAGTAGATAAAATGATAGATATTACTGACAAAATTTTAGACGAATCTTTTTATGACGATCGAGTTAGAGAGCATTTACATGGCATGTATAGTATGATCGAAAATCAAACACCATTACCTGAATCTCATAAAGATATTCTGAAAAATGAACTGAAAGCGGCCCTCGATAAATACTTGCAAGATCCCGAGCTTTTGGATATAATAGACGATTCACCTTCATACGATCAAATCGATCAACAAGAAATCGATGAAGCAAACTATGACAAAATTATCAAAGATGCTATGGATGTAATCGAAGAAACACCGATATCTATTAACAAAAAACATACATTAGAAAATAAACTGAAAAATATGGTATTTGATGCAAACCGACCAAAAAATTTCAAGCAAATTTTAAAAGATCTATATAAATCTATTGAAGAATTATCTATTCCATGGCATCACAAAAAAGCTTTAAAATCTAAACTAGCGGACATTGGGCCAAAAAACTTACAAATTAACCAATTGAAACATACTCTTTTAAAAGATATTGATAGTGCCATTGATTTAGAGCCGCTTGATGAAGAACAGAAGAGTAATTTGAAAAGTAAATTTTCTGAATTTGTAGATTTACTTGAACCATTTTCTGATAAAGTTGATATAAAAGTTAAGGATGACATGATAAGAATCATAGATGAAAACGTCTTGTCCAGGGATCAAAAGCGCAATTTAAAGGATAGAATAGAAAATATAGTAACAAAAATATCGACCAAAGAGCAAGATGAAGAAGTTGTAAAAGAAAAAATTATGAAGTACATCACTGAAGTGATTGATGAAGCTCCAATACGCCATCACTTAAAAAGAAATATTTCGTGCCAGCTAAAAAGGGCTATTTCTGAAAATTTTGAACAGCCGCTCACAAGAGATGCTGCAGTTAGGTTAAAAAATAACTTTGTTAATATAATAGATGAAGTACCCATAACTGACTACCAAAGAGACAGCTTAAAACGAAGATTGAATGATATTTTGACTAGACAGTTAGAGCAATTGCCTATGAATAGAGACGATGCTAGGTACCTCCTGCTATCAGATATCGATAAAATACTGGAGGACAAATCAATTCCCAAAACTAACAAAACTGACCTGTTACAAAAGATACGGAAAGCGGTTTTTACTAATACAGATGAACCACTTTCAGATGGCATAAAAAGCAAAATTCAACAAAAGATTGCTGACACAGTAGATGAAGCTATTATTCCAAAAGAGAAAAAGAATAAGTTAAAGGAAGAAATAGATGCCGTAGTCAGAAAGAATTTTGCAATGGTGTCGAGTAATTTAAAACCGGCAGATAATTTATCCAATAGTCTTGTGAGAAATATTTGCAATGTTATTAAAGATGCACCAATATCACATGAAAATAAAAAATATTTAAAGAAAAAAATTGAAGAAAGTTTGCCTTCAAGATTACAAGGAGTAACGTCTTATGACCTCGAAGAAACAGTAAATAATGAAATGCTTAATATAATCAACGAAGTTGCCGTATCGCCAGCACAAAAGAAAATACTAAAGAATTTTCTAGCAAATACTGTATCTCAAGTAATACAAGAACATCAATCAAAAGCACTTAAAGACGAAATAAAACAAAATACACTGCGAGATGTCAATATTGTTATAGAAAAACTAAATTTACCCAAAGAAAGGAAAAAACAAATAAAATTTAAACTTAAAGATTTGATCGATGAAAACTTTGAAAAACCACTTACTGTTGACAATTTTAAAGTAATTAAAAAAGGCATTTATGATATAGTCGCTGAAGCTCCACTAACTAAAGAGAAAAAAGCTGAAATAAGACACAATTTAGCCAACATCGTAGACAATAATGTAAAATCGTTTATTTCAGTCAGTTCTAAGCCCGATACATTAATGAAATCAACCAAGAAACCAAAACGTACTCTTTTAAATGGAATAGACTTAGTTTTGGACCCATTACTAATCAACGTTGATGACAAGTTATATATAAAGCAAATGCTTGAATCGGTGGCCGACGAAATCTCAGAGCAACCAGCAGAAATGATAAAAGACACTATTAAAATAATTGTAGATGATACCTCGATACCCAAAAACAAAAAAGCCGAAGTACTGGAAAAATTACATCACAAAATAGTTGATAATTTAAATACTCCATACGATAAGCAAATGTCGCTTATAACTGAAAATATTTTGGGGGGGATAGATCCTCTTTTAGATGAATTACAAGTATCGAGTGCACAGAAAAAATATCTAAAAAATAAATTCGAAGATGTGATAGCAGAACATTTAAATGAATCCGTTTCTAGTAATACAATGCGAGTTATAAAAGATAATATCTATAATATAATTTCAGAAATGCCATTATCTAATAACCAAAAAAATTTGTTAAGCAGTAAACTCATCGATTTAGTTAAGTCTAATAATACAAGAGATGTGCGCAAACCAAGCACAACTCAACAAGTGATGATTTCTTTGCCGAAGAGAATACCCGCTGTTGTGTATTTATCACCGGTGAAAAAAACTAGTGCGATTCAAGAAATAGATACAGTTCTTGATCACTTGCAGATGCCAACCGAGCACAAAAGAAATTTAAAACCAATTTTAAAAAAATTGGTACAAGAAACTTTAGACGCCCCATTGACGAGCGATACCTACGAAATAATTAAAAAAGGAATCAGTGAGATTATGGTTGATGCTTCCATCTATCCAAGAGATAAAAAAAGTGAAATAAAAAGCAAACTGCACGACATGGTCGATAATATAATTAAACCAATGATAGAATCATCTACTGGAGGCACTTTAAGGACTTCTGCAGGAACATCTACAGCAAATAATTTAGCTAGAAATGTATATATATCGCCTACAAAAAAGAATAATGCAATGTGGGACCTTGATACAGTTTTTAATCAGTTACAGATGTCAAGCGCAGAAAAAAATGACTTGAAATCCAAGGTTAAGATTGCTATTAATGAAATTTTTGAAACACCGTTATCAGTAGATACTAGTCCAATAATTAAGGATAAAATAAAAATAATAATAGCCGAGTCTTCAAACATTTCTTCAGATAAAAAAAATATGCTAAAAAATAAACTCATAGATATGGTCGACAGTAAAATCGCGCCACTGATTGAATCTGATTCTATTGAACCATTAAGCAGCATGGGTGAACGTAAACGAATTCTGCCACAAGAATTGGATCATGTTTTAGATAAGTTACAAATATCAAATGATGAGAAGAAAAGAGTTAAAAGCGCTGTAGCTAACATTTCACAGCCAGTGAATGCAGATATTAGCGATAATCTTAACGCAATAGTAGATGATATGACATTACCAACAAATGAAAAGACGGAACTAAAGAATAAGTTATATAATTTAGTTAAAACTACCACATCTAATACTGGTAAAGGATCAGCATCTAAAAATTTAAATGGTAAAATGTGCTCATCATCCAGAAAAGATATCGTAATGGCATTAAAGCCAACAAATGAGAATTTAATAGTCACATTAAATTCAACTATTGATCACTTAGATACATCGAAACATTTAAAATCAGTGTTGAAAGATGTCGTGCACAAAACTATCAGCAAGGGGGATTCTTTAAACTCTATGATCACTGGTAGATTAAAAAGTGCTATCGCTAAAGCAATAACAGATGCGCCAATATCTAAGGATAAGAAAAATAATATAGAAAGCGCATTAGTTAATGTAATCGATGAACATGTTGATGATGCACCTCTAACGCCAACAAACGAAAAAATATTCAACATTAAAGGGACAGTTTTAGAAGACATTGAGAGTAGCCTTAACTCTGCCCAAATTCCAATGGACGTGAAAAGTAATTTGAAAGATAAAATACGAAACAAAATGGTGGAGTATTTGGAGACGCCGCAATCTACGAAAAAGTTGGAAAACGTTCAAAAAGATATTAATAATATAATTAACGAAGCGGCTATCTTGGAAAATGTAAAAACTCAGTTGAGAAATAACATACGCAACAAAATAAGCAGAAATACAGAATATTTACCTGTTACGGGTAAGATTTAGAGAGATATATGCGGCTCTAACTTAGAACCACGGGTATGACAATAGCCCGATGCGATAGAATAGAGAACGTGGCATATGCCAAAGCGGCAGAGGAAAGGGGACGGAAGAGAAAAGCTCTCTCTGGTTCTTTTCCTGCCGCACGATACAAAAAAATATGATTATTTTATGTATCGTTCAGCCTTTTGGTTTGTCTTTGGTTAGACATCCGTTGTTTTTTTTTTATTTCAGTAAGCGTGTGAATTTATTTTCTTTTCGGGATCATTTTATATTTACTCGTCTGTGGGCTCAATTTTCAACTCAAACTTTAGTTTTAACAAAAGTTTTTAGATAGGAAATCCTGGTAAGCAGTACTAAAAATACACTCTATCATGGGAGCGCATGCACATTAGGCCCGCTTGACTTGAGTGATACCACGGCCTCACATAATTAATGTTTTGAGCATTTTTTTGTTACATTTCCCCGTATGATTAGAATAAAACAATTCTGTGTATTCATTATTATCATCATTAAAGATATTATTATTGGTATTTCGAGGATGTACGACTATAAAGTTTGAATCCTGATACCATCTAGGCAAGACACTTAACTCTTTATAATAGGGCACCACTGGAATACACCGCATGTGGTTGTTTCACTATAGAAATAACTAAGTATTTAAGTGAGGTTAATTTTCTTTAAGTTAGAATTCTGAGATTATTAAGGCTCGTTAGTGCTGAGACTAATATTTTTAGGGGAACTTTCTATTGGCTTTTTGTCCGTTTATGAGACTGGTACAACACTAGACAATACTGTTACACGACAACCAAGAGTTTGTTGTGTCTCAGTATTGGGTACAGCAGTAGATCGTGATAGTTAACAAGAACACTACAAATGTGTTAATAGACTCTAAAAGAAATTCCTCGATGCACTTTGAGATTATCCCATATTCATTTGGTTTGTTTCCAGAGGCTTTAAGCTTTTATAATCCATCAAAAACAACTGCCATGAGATATGAAGATAGCTCCAATATAACCAAAGCATGGCCTTCCCACTCTAAGTGCCAACAAGATTCTTTACCCTCAGGATTGATTTATGATGCTGATGATGAAGACACTAAGGACCAAATGTCTGTTGCAATGTCAGTATTGAAAGCACCAAAAGATCACAGCTCAAAAAAGAAGAAATTAAAAGAGAACATGTTAAGAGATTTCAGCGGAATAATAGATGTCGTTAATATACCAAGAAATAAAAAGACAGATCTAAAAATAAAATTGAATGGAATTGTAAATTCGAAAATTGATAAACTGTTTGCATCTCCAAAAAGAAATTCAACTGAGATGAAAAAGTTGATTGCAGATAATATTGAACAAGTTATAGATGAAGCGTCTATGGGTCCTGCTGTTACTAGACAAATGAAAAACGATTTAAAAGATCAATTATTGAAAGTGGCAAATAAAAACATAAATACAACGATTACAGAGGGTAATAAGAGCACTGGCCAGTCACAAATGCTGTTAGGCACTATTGAAAGATTACCGATACCTAGCCATATAAAAGACGAATTGAAGGACAAAATAATGAAATCTCCCGAAGAATCAGTAAGTAGTTCACAAGAAAGTAGGAGACTCTCTCCAACACGCCCTCGTGGTTCTAACATTTCTGTTATTCCTGAAGAAGGACCAGTAACTTCTACTCCTAAGAAGGGTCGTAAGAGCTGGGAAAGACCGATAAATTCTTTCTCAGTTATTGCAAATGAAGATATTATGCAGTCGCTAAGCCCAGAAGAGAGAGATTATTGGATGCAAATAGAGGAATCTATATCGAAATGGTTGGACGAGTTGCCTATAGACTTAGATGAAGATACTAAGGCAGCAATAAAAAGAGAAATAGCAAATGATATCACTGATCGACTGCAATACTTGCAATTTAACCCTGGAGCTAAGAAATCACTGCAAGAGGAATTGGAGAATCTACAGTATCAGGTATTTAGAAGACTAGGAAAGGTCCTTAATCGTGAAGAAATGCAGTTAGCAATACAGGCAGGTGACAAGCTCATGCTCATGATGAAAGATATTAAAGAACCAGATGAAGGTATAGGATTTGTTATTTTTTCAAATTGGTTATCCAATTTATCAGTGTTATTGTAAAACTAGTGTAGGCCAAAACCTCCTTTCTAAGGAGAGGCCTAGGTCCAGCAGTGGACTATTAAAGGCTGTTGATGTGAACAAAAATTATTGTTTGGTATTTTTGTGTTCTAAGTATCCGAACTTGATACTTAGAACGAGCGACCCTTAAAGTAGTTTCATATGATCTTATGGTCAATTCCAGCACTTAGCGCTAATGGCTCATTTCCCCCGCTTTCTATTACGTCCCTGAATATAGAAATTATTCCTGTTGTCTTTATAAAAGATAAAGTATATAAAATACAGTGTTGAGTGGTGAAAACCATTATCACAGCTACAAGTCGTCCTGTTGACCCCAGGCCTGAGCCGAAGACTATCATATACTGGTCCACCCGATAGAAAAAAAACAAACATCTTTAAATTTGGTAGCAACCCAAATTTAAAAATGTTTGTTTTTTTCATCGTATAGAAAATAAACGAGCAGATGGGTCAACACAACACAATAAGTACGTTGCAGGCGTTAAAGTGCCCTTGCCAGAATTACTAAGGAGAGGGGAGAGCAGGTAGGCTCCCCATTACCTCAGTCACCAACTGAAATGTAACGAAAGAATTTTGTAATATTGGTTTTCTATGAGGTATCATTCCTGTCGAGCAGACCCATTTGTGGCAACTCATGGTTCTCCCATTATGTATTCACTGAGTTTTAAATTTTTGTATACTATTTTATTTATATATATATTATTTATGTATACAGATGCAGCATTAGAAAGAACGGCAGAATTTGAGTTTCATCAGCAAATAAAAGACATTATATCAACCACATTGCCCGAATTAGAGAACGCTTCCACTGAGACATTAAATTCATTTGAAATAATGAAAGATGAATTAGCGGATGCTTTTATTAAACTTCATTACACTGGTGGTAATGAAGAAGAATTAAATAAATTAAAGAAGAAAATTAATGACGAAATAGATAAATTCTGTGATGATTATCTAAAAAAATATCCTAATAAACCGTTAGATCGTGAACAACTAAAACGCGATTTGTATAATGCACTCAAAAATGTGCAACCTTCTGATGACCTAATGAAATCTGCCGTAGAACATGTAAGATTTAAAGATGTAGTACATGAATGGGTTAAAAAACTACCACTGAAGAAGCAGACTACTGCTGAACGTATAAAAATGAATAAAAATATAGCTGTACTGGCAAAAAAACTGCTTGACCTAGAACAGAATGATGAGCTCAGTGATTCAGAAGTAAAAGATAAGATGACAACAGAAATAGCAAAATTTTTGACAACACTGCCTTTTAAATCAGGTCAAGAAAAAAACGCAGACAAATTCAAAAATGATCTAATCGTTCAAATCAACAAGACCAAAGCAACCAGAACATTTGATGCTTCTACGAGACATTCGATTACCCTTGACGACTTCTTGGGACAGAGCTCACATTGGCAGCCATTGTTTCCTCCATGTACTTTAAGTTCTGAAGATTTAGAGCATTTAGCAAGAATAAAGAAACGAACTTGCCTAGCTCCTGACTGCCTCGCTTCTCTAATGAATAAAGCTAGTGAGAACAAACGTAATGCCTCTGTAAACCCGATGTCCATTGAGTCTGGAGCTCAGACAGAACACTATTCTGAGAATATTTCTATGCCTCAGCGAATGCAACCATGTTCGTCATCGTATGGACCAACAGTATGTCCAGGTCAACCATTGCCTTATGATCAATTCTGCCCAATGCAGTTTGCTGGAAGTCCCTGTACACAAAGTTTAAGCCATATGGATGTTCAACCACAGGTTTTTTCTCATTTAAAATATTTAATAAGCTGCTTAAAATGATATATATTATAACATTGTCCCTAAACTTTCTATTTTTTCAGATCATAATAAAGGAGTACTATTGGAATTCAACCAACACCTCAGAGTTTCCAAAATCAGAATCGCGATTATCAGGTGGCGTACAGAAACGAACATGCTTCGCCTCAAGGCCAACACCACGATGCACACAAAAGTACTCTCAAACTTCTCAAGATAAGGCTTTAGGGTCTATATCCTGCACACCTTCGCCTTGTGCCCCAGCGCCTTGTTCACCCACTCCTTGTACTCCGAGATTTTATACTCCAAAACATTGTACTACAAGTGCCCTACCACAGTACTTTATCCCATGCCATCGAATAAATCAACAGAATTCATTTCGAGAAGATAATGGGCCAAGAAAAGATGATCAGTATACAGAATATTCTGAAGCTCAGATCACAAAATCTGTAAGAAAAGAACACGTGATAGAATTAGGGTCGTTAGATGAATTAAGAAAACCTAGTCGGAAAGAGAGAAGACTTGAACAATTCACATCGTATTCCAGAAATCCAGAACAAACTGTTTGTGAAGAGTCTCGTTCGAGTCCTGACGATTCGGATGAAGCAGAAATATGCATTAACAGAGGTCAACCGAAAGAGAGGACTGTTACTTGTAAATGTAAGGCTAAGCCAGCAGCAACAGGTACGCGAGGACGTTGGAAGCAAGAGACTCATAGAGACCGTGCTATATTGGCTAATAATGACAGCACAGCAATGAAACGATGCTTGAAATGCTGCGGTATGCACTGTCCGTATCCAAGTTTTATGTACTTTAGACAATAATTATTTGACTCTAGTGATGTCCTGTTCATGTTTGACAATGATATTTGAAATAAAATTTCCGGTATAGTCGATGATGAATTTTATTTAATCGATCAGGATCAAAAATTGTTTCGTAAAGCATTTTATCATTAATTTAGTCTCTATGTGGAATATTATCTTATTAAATAAAAAAATTACAATACTACGAAATACTAATTTATATTATATAACTTTTAAAAGATCAAGCAAAATATCGAGATGTGAGAATAAAACAGGTCAAAGTCATTGCGACAATAGAACTCGTATTTCAAGAGATTATGTTTATTTCCACTGCGAAATCGTTAACAATCTATTAAATAAAAAAATACTCTATTATGCAATATGCCAACATGTAAGGAATCTACTTTGCTTTTATTAGGTGTTATTTTTGTTGTTATTTTTTAATGCACTCCATGATATAAAATTGAAGTTATGACAACTTATATCTTATTAAGTGTACTGCCGTCCTGTATGGTCAAATTTGAAATCGGAATTCGTCAAAATAGCAAAGCGTCAAAATAGCAAATCGTCAAAGTAGAGAACCGTCAAAACAGCAAATAGCCAACAAAAAAATCAAACAAATGATATTCGGTTCTTAGTTCTGGTTCGATTCATTTATGATCGCAATACTAACCTAACACACCATTTCATTTTCTATAAGCTAGTCAAATACTACATACGTGAAATAAAATCGAATCTTGACCGTTTGCTAATTTGACCGTTCGCGATTAGAAAATTATGGTATTGAACCATTTGCGACATGTGACGAAACCTTTCCGCCCAATGTGGAAGTCGTTGACAGCGTGACATTCACCAGAAGGCTTAGCTCCTCTTTTATACTAACTAGCGAGCTATCCAAATTAACATTTTGGACTACAATATTGAATTTGCAAAATGTTAAAGTTATTTATTGGGTGTATTCTTTTACTAACTTTTCAAAACCAAAAATATATTCGATGTTTTTGGTGGAGTAGTACAATTTCATTAAATTTATTTTATTTTTTAGTTAGGGCCGTAAATACCTAGGTTTATGTACAGGGCCCTCTATGTGATTACCACCGCAGTGCTTGGTATTTTCTCGTGAAGTAAAGTTTGCTCCACAGACTCATCATTTTGGGATTCAACATTTTGCAAGTTCAATATTGTTGGTCCAGATACTTGAACATTTTACGAAGCTAAAATTTTGGGTTTCAATATTTTGCGATTTAAACTTTGCAAATTAAACTTCCAAAGACAAAGAAAACCCTAAATTAATCCAGTTTTAAAGACTCATGTAGAGTAGCTTAATAAAAAAGACAGCGACTGAAAGAGATAAATTACGCATGATACGCATTAAAAAAACAAAATTTGTTCAAGTAATTTAATAACAAGACAAACACAGTGGACATTATACGAAGACAAAATTAATAATACTTACACGGTTTAATGATCAATTTGCAAGGACACGGTTGTGAATCAAAACACATACACTTTACTTTATCAAAATCTTTGGGACATTGACATTTTACAATTATTTTCGGTTTGTTACTTTCCTCAGCTTGCCTTTGACCATAACCTTGGTGTGGTATTTGTTTACAGTTTGGGTGACATCTTATAATACCTTGAGGCATACAAACTTCTTGAGGAGCATCCTGGTTTTGGTCATCATCAGCAATGACATTGCCCGTTCTACTTTGCGCTGATTTCTGACTTCCTTGTGAATTAGGTCGGTTTATCTCTGAGTTAGCGTTTGCTGAAGATGGTGGACTTGTTCTCTTTCTTGCTTGTCTTTGCTTCAAACAATTACTTTCTAAATCTGGTTTAGGCTTGAAATTGCACATGTTATTTCTGCAGGGACTAGCGCTTTTTGGACCTCTGATCTCTGGATAAGTTTGTCTTCGTCTATTAGTGTACCCTTGGGCTGGCTCGGGCATATATTTTGGTGACAAGGATTTTGTTCCGCGAGCATCTGTTCTTTGGGATGTACGGCATTGACATTGATGGGGACCTACACCTATTTCGTGATGGCCTCTTTCTTGAATATTCTCTCGTTGTCTTCCCTGACGGTTTACTCGGTTCATTTCTAGGTTGCTTTTAAGAGAATTGCCTCTTAGGGGTGAAGATGACTTAATGTTATACTGGTGACCTGGATCAAACTCGATATCAATTCTGGGTATTCCAGTAGCTTGGCTATCTTGGGCTACATTTTCTGTACTTTTATCTGGTTCTGCGGGCCATTGAAATGGTATGCCATTCGAGTATGGCACAGGTTTTTGGTCTGATAGTTGATCTTGACCGATATTTTGATGTTGGGGGCAACACACATGACCTTGGCGAGGCTGTTGATTAGACCTGAGTGTTGGCCCGTGTCCGAGCCGTTGGTCCCTCGTTTGATATGATTGATTTATGGTATCAGTCGAAGCGTCGATTAATGGGGCTAATATCTCGGTATTATCTAATTTTGCAAAAGTTGAGCTCACTGGCCTCTTTTTTTCAAATATATCGTAATTAGTTGTGTCTTTGAGACGACGATTTTTTAACCTGTTGTTTAATTCGTCGACCATAAAATTTATATTCAAATCTTTGTCACGTTCTAGTCTACCTCTTTCAGTTAAAAAATTACTGATTTCATGTTTAATCTCCCTTTCTTTTGAATCATGTAACTCGCCGTTATTCTTATCAATTTCGTGTATTTTCTGTGCCAAAATATTCATCATTCGTTTCCTAAATACTTGATCAAAATCATTAATATATGGTGTAACCGGCAACTCTTTATACCATTGCTCTATCTCTTCGGCCAAAAGTATTTCTTCAACTTCGTCATTCAAAATATCTTCGTTAGGAATAGGAACTTCTGCTAATATTTTCATGGCATGTTGCATTAATTGTGTTTTTTTGAGATATCTAAAGTCTACATTATGTTGTCTTGTTAAATGATTTGCCATTTCATCAACTTTCTTCATCAATCGCTGCTTGTATATGTTAGCTTTCAATGGATCGTCTTCCTTATATTTAGTTTCTAATATATAAGCTTCTGCCATCTCTGCTAAAAACCCTTGTTGCAGTAAAAAACACTGCTCCAGTTCGAACTTTTTTGCAAACTTTCTATTGAAACCGTCTTTGAGGCGTTGTCTAAAAGATGGCCTATCTGAAACGTCCTGCATTTCTTTTAGCATATTAATGGCATTACTTAAAACACTCACTTTCCAGCCGTGTCTAATTTTTTTCATTTCTTCAGTTTGTGGGAGCAAATCCAGCATCTCATCTAATTTGTCCTCTAATATTAATTCAAAATATCCATAATCATTTTCAAGTTCTTGATCAGATTTTAAAGTGAAAAATGTCTTCATTATAGCGTTGTATATTCCGGTTCTTGCGAGTTCAGATAATTGTTTGCTTTCAGGAGTCGGCGCATAAATAGGTAAGTCAGAAACCTTATTCTTGAAGATTGTTTGATATTTCTCAAATATTGATTCTTTTGCATTTTGATAACTTGCATGAGTATTTTTATTATTTACTGAATTATCCGTACCAATCTCACTAGAACTTCTATTATTGTCCGCTCTTGATCGTGACATTTCACTAAAACTACGAGAACATGTAGATTTTCCATCACTGGTGCCATTATCTTCTTGTCTTGCCGTAAGAGTATTAGCTTTTCCTTCCTTCGCATCAGCGCACCCTGATTGCATATATACTTGTGAATCTTTTGCAAATAATCTTTTGCAAGGTTTATTTTTTACTTGCTTTACAAAATCTTGTGCAAATGTAATTGTGTCAATCTTTTGAGTATCTTCTAAGATCTGAAATTGAACTTTTTCCATCTCGCCTTGAAAACTTCTTTGACACTGGGGATTTAGATTTAAATAAATCTCCTTGTTTATTATATCATCAGCAAAATCATTTAACATGACATTAAATTCATCACTTTCGATTCGGAGGAAATTATTTAACCAATTGCTAATTTCATCGACTATTTGTGTTGCATATATTTCTAAATTGTCTTCTATCTCATCATTGTCAATTGTTGTTTTTCCTATATTTCCAATAGAGTCAATATCAGCAGTCGTTTTTTTCTTTATAATACATTTTAGCTTCCTAGTAAGGCATTTTGATAGTTGCATTACAGCTTGTTCAGGGATTCTTTTTTGGGGAAATCGTTCTAAAAATTTAATGATTTCATTTCGGATTAATTGAGAATGCTTCTCGTTTAAATTCTGTTCTAGCTGTTTCATTAGTTTGCATATTAATGGCACAACTTTGTCAATCAGTGAAGTCATATAAGGTCCTGAAATCTTTTTATTATTAAATGTAGGTAATGACAAACGTTCGGCCCACTTTTGAATAGTAAATTCAATCATTTCAGCAGTATCGTCATGGGTAAGCTTCGTCTTCAAATAATCATCCTCCAAGGCCATTCCTTCTACTTTTTTATATGTGCTATCCTGCGGCCTGATCATTGCCATCGGTAATGTTTTCATGAACTTAATAATTTCATTGATAATAATTTCATCTGTTGCACCTAAAGTCCGTAGTAGCTTTATATTTTCTATGAATGTGTTCTTTTTAATTTTAAAATATACAAAATCTGTTACACGTATGGGCAATTTATTTAACCAAGCTTCAACGTTTGCTTCCAAAGAGTCATCTTGAGTGGAATGATATAGTGACAGATCATTAAATGTTATTGTATTGCGTTCATATTTACTTTGTTTAGTATTTTCAGGTGTATTTATTATACAATCAAGCATAGCGTTCTCTAGTTTGCTCATTAGGAATTTCTGATCACTTTGTTTTGATTCTGTAGCGTTTGCATCTCCTATGTGATTCAATTTTATGTTTGTTACTAATATTACAGCATATTTGTCTCTGCACTTATTAGATTGTTCATCTAAAGGCAATATTTTCATCCACTCCAATATATCTTCTCTTAATGTATTATAAATATCTACTAAGGGTGATTGATCAGTTAAACCGTTTATAGATTCATAAATTTTTGTAGCTAGTTCGTGCACATATTTATTTCTGTTACAGACAAAGTAATCTTCTTTATTTAATTGTAAAGAGAAAGTATTAATCCAATCATTAATAATACTTTTGTAGGTCCTAATATTATTTTCTCTTTCAGAATCTCCTGACCAATTTTTGACATTATTTTTTACCCACACTAAAATTTTATTTTTCAGTAGAAGAGTATGACCACTGCTTAATTTATTTTTAAATATTTCTTTGACCCATTTATCAATTTTCTCATCGATAGTCCCTAGTTTGTTACTATTTATACATTTTTCAATGTCTTCTGCTAAGATATTTATTAGTTGTCTATTGAAACTGGTGTCTCCTACGCTATTGACGTCTATTGGTAGTTTATGGAACCAACTACCGATAAGATTAGTCAATGATTCCATCACTGGACCCAAATGCTCATAACTACACTTATGTGGTGCTTCAAGAAATTTGTTATCTGAATTAAAGCTGAAGTTTGGTAAAAAATTAATTCGTTTTATCAAATCTTCAACATGTACCAAAGTATTTTTTCCAACTAATTTGCAAGTTCTTTTAAATATCTGATATTTCAAATGTTCTAGTTCTTCTGAAATAGTTCCTTTCATGTTTGGATGTTTTGCCAAGAATTTTTGTCGATCTATTATATCACACGCCAATTTTTTTACATGCATTTCACTGTCTTCTACTTGTATATTTAATTCGGTAAACCATTTCTTAATTTCTTTTGCTATTTGGTTTATATATTGTTCAAAGTATCTCTGATTCATTAATGTCGAATCAATTTTATTTGGAAATTCTAAGTTAACACCAGGTACTGTCATTTTTTTATTGTCGTTTCTTGAGAAAAAGTTTTGACGAAAAAAAAAATCTTTATAGTCAATTAATATGATTTTAGTAAAGTATTTTGCTTTATCTCCAGGTATTTTGGCAATGTCTTCAAACGCATTTGAAATTTGACTCATGACGTTATCGTTTATATCTTCGATTTCTGTAAGATCTAATAAATTATCTATTAATTTGTTTTCGAGCTCTTTCATTTTTGGAGGATTTATCTTCATACATGACTTATCCATAACAAAAATTATTTCATCTTTAATAAATTGTTTTATTTCTGCATCTGTCGGCTGAATGTATCTTATAGGAATCTTCCCTTCAATAGCTATTATCTCATTCACTAAAGTGTCTATTACGGTACTGTTCAAGCTATCAGACAGAGACAAATCATTCACAATAATTGTGATATTCAGTTTCAAAGCTTTTTTGTAATCCGTGTCTGATTCAGCTCTGTCTAAAGTTATTGGTTCTAATTTTTCTACTAAATAATTGTAAACATCTCTATCGTTCATAAGACCACCAAATTCATCTTTCCTTTTTATGTTAAATATTTTTAACCATTTTTTAACTACAATCTTCAAATTATCGATTACATGTCTACTATAGTATTTTGTCTCTGTATTATCAACAGTATTAGTATCATGCCCCGGCCGTACTGTCTTTTTCTTAATGTTTTCGGGTACCTGTGGTAATTCTACTACTTCTTTACCAACATCAAAAATCACATTTGGTGATTTACGCAGGAAATATTTATCATTTTTCTGTAGACCATTTTCACTTAGTGTCAGGTTATTAAAACTTGGGAAGTTAATTTTTGTTGTATCATCTAGAGTATGAATAAATTTTGTATCTGCTGCTTGTGAATACTCTTTGCTGGAAAGACTTGACATTTCAAAATCTTGGACTTTCCATGTTTCGATCAGGTCTTCGTTTTCTTGTCTTTTAATTGGAATGTATTTATCTTTTCCACTTTCTACAGTTCCGAAGTTTTTTTCTGATTTTTTTATGATGTTTGTAGGGTGAGATTTTTGAACAGAGGTTATTGAGTATCTTGATTCCTGGCGATCACGGTTCTTTCCCTGAAAATTAATGATCTACTTAAATTATTAGGAAGTGACTCAAATCAATTCAAGATTTCTCAGTGTAATGAACATACTCACAGTTCTTTTAAGACGATGACGTGCAGAAGATTCTGTAAAACAAATTACGCATATTTAAAATTTACCTTTGGCTTTTCTTTCTTTTTGCAAATTGAATAACATTAATAGACCGGGCTGATATTACTTAAATGTTCGTTATACAATATGTTAGTAGTTTTAAATAAATGAATAAATACAGAGAAACAATTATTACGTTAAACAAACATACACTCATGTCATGTCGTGTCCTCGAAAGGATAGACAGAGATGTATTAGACGCCCACATTTTGCCACTATGAATGTAGTCCCACTTACAAAATAGGCCGCAAGCTTATTGCCGCCAACCGGGCACTTTAGAGATAAGGCAGAATAATGGAATAAGGCAAATAATAAGGAAACTACGCAGTACAACAGCACTGCAAAGAGAAGGAAAACGTGACACAAACTCTATATCAAACCGTCTGGTCAGGGTGGTGTAGTAGGGCAAAACATCCCAATGTCTAGCAGTGGATAGTCCACTGCTGGACATAGGAGTCATAGGAGTAGATTAGGAATGTAAGAAATAGCTCGAACAGGCCCAGGTAACTCGATGTAACTCAGATTGGCTATTACCGTAAAGTCCGAGACTTATTAACTGTTAACATTAAATTAACCCAATAGCTTCTTTCACAAATTCATTTAATAACAAAACAGGTGACATAACAATAACAAAACAAATTCATATCACAAATCAAAATTAAACAAATTTTACGGTACTTTATAAACGCCAGCATCCGGATAAGATAGGAACAAATTAAGGAGATGAAGAAGAACGCTTTTGCGCTTGATACACCTATTGACCTATTTAGACATAAGACATATAATAGTTATACAAAAATCTACAACATTTATTTTTCAGTGGTATAATTTTAATGCGAGACGATGTCCTAATTTTTACGGACAATAATGCGGAAATCGTAATACAGACATGTGCGTTGGACATCGTGTATATATATTCTCGCAAGAAGCGCATGTACATTTAGCGTCCAAACGGTATCTCACACATAAGCACCTCCTATCATCTACCGTGTCGCATCTCAAATCATCCGACCTTTGACCCCTCTGACACCTAAAAGAGCCATTAGAAAAGTCTTGAAAGACACACTGTCTAGGTAAGCAGTAATGGCTCCGTTGATACAGAAAATTATTTTCCTTCGGTATGTAGTGACAACCGCCTGCACATTCTACTGGGTTCAAAATTGGACCCATTTCATATGGACAAGTTATAGTTTCTGCATCTGACTGTCGTGGAGTATCCCTTTTCTTTTTTTCATCTATCATTTGCTTGATACCTTTGCTATCAGTGGAGAGGTAAAACTCGCATTTTTCTGTGTCTATATCTTTAGTGGCCGGGGATAAAGAACGTTTAGGTTCTTTATGGCTATTGATATCCCTGGGTGACTGAACGGAGCCATGAATATTGCAGGCACTTACCCCACTAGAACCCGCAACTTGACTAGTGCCAAGAACTCCTAAACCAGCTCCTGCCATTTGTTGAAGTCTAGGTTTATGTTGTACTTTGGGCGTGCTTGAGTTTTTTCTTGACAATGATAGTAAATTTCGTGAATTTTGTACATAAGCATCAGGTTCGGCATATTTACTCGTATAAGAAATATTCCGGGAATTGTTCATATTCTCAGGAAATTCATTTGCTGTTGGCTGACCACGTGCCGCTGACGTATTTGCAGGTGGTGAACTTCCATAGTGGTTTTCACTATCTCTTGAAGGTCGTTGAGACCAGTCGAGCATGTCCGATGGGGCTGCAGTTTGTTCCAGTGATTCCCATTGCTCTTCGGGTATAGGCGGCTGTTTGAAATTTATCCAGTTTTTCGACTCCGGCTGACCACGTGCCGCTGACGTATTTACAGGTGGTGAACTTTCATAGTGGTTTTCACTATCTCTTGAAGGTCGTTGAGACCAGTCGAGCATGTCCGATGGGGCTGCAGTTTGTTCCAGTGATTCCCATTGCTCTTCAGGTATAGGCGGCTGTTTGAAATTTATCCAGTTTTTCGGCTCCGGGTTTGTAACTATTTCGCCTGCAATGATCATGTATGAACTCTCATCAATTATTCTAGAAGGTCCTAAGAAGCTAGAACAGCCTGGCATGTGCCTGCTAAAGTCTTCATAATTTTGCGGCATTTGAAACGACACTGACTTTCTCCCGATTTGTTTTGGCATTTTTCTTAATCTATTCACTAGTTCTTCTATTAGGAACTTGAGATCAGCGTTGTTATTTAAAGGAAGTTTAACTAAGTATTTAGGCAACACTGTTTGTAACTCTTTTCTTGCATTACAGTCCGATAAATTCATTCGTTTCCCGATGTCACTAATTTTGTTTGCCAAAACATTTCTTAGACTCCGTTTTTCTATAGGATTAATACTAGCCTTTAACGGTAGGTCTGTTAGCCAGCTGTCTACTTCCTTTTGTATTAGAATTTCACAAGCTTCTTCTTTGATCGCATCACTATCTGGAACTGGAACTTTACTCACTGCATTTATTAACTCGTTAACATAGGTTTGATAATCAATATTCCTAAATTCTTCACCGTGGTTCTTTTTGACACTATCTGCTAATTTCTCAATGTTTTTTAAAAAGCTATTTCTATAAACGTTACCTGTTACGTCATTGTCCTGTTTGTATGTTGTAAAGAGTAGATAATCATCAATAAGGTCATTTTTATTGAGTTCTTCTTCTATTTTCAATTTGGATTTTTTTGGTAAATGATTGTCTAAATTATCTAAAAGTTGTTGTTTGTAACATGAAAGAGCTGCTGCAGCCTTAACTTCTTCATTCATATTTACAGTATTTTGAATCAACTGCTCTTTTAGCTTATGTTTTATCAGTAGTAATTCTTTTGTATTTGGAAGTGTTTGTAGCAATTTTTCTATTTCATCATCCAAAACATCATGATAATAATAGGGATTGTTGTAAATTTTGGGATCAAATTTTAACTTTGTTATTGCTTTCCATATCCCGCTATAGATATTTAATCTTGCAAGGTCAGCATTCTTTTGTTCTTCTGGATTTGTAGCAGGGATTGGTATACTCAGTAACCACTGCTGAACGTAATTATCGTATTCTTCGTTTAGTTTTTTGAGTGTTGCAGCAACCAGAGATATTTCTTTTCCCGTACAGCATGGAGGAATAGTAATCGACTTTGGGGACTGTTGTAGTTGCTGACATGCTTTTGGCGTCGTCTCTGTTTTTTGGATGCTATTTCTGTTATCTGATGTAGGTTTATAATCAGACTGGTTGTTTACCCAGACATTTCCATCTTGGGTATAATTAGATTGACTTTCTTTTCTTGTATGTTGTGGGTGGCTATAAGCGCTCTGATTTGTGGTCTGTCTTTCATGAGTACTTCTCATATTACTTTCGTTTTGTGTATCATGACCAGAATGATTTAGTCTTTCTCTACGGGATGGGTGCACAGAATCCCCTTCAGGTTTAGCAATGTTTAATTCTTTTTCTCCATGAGATCTTGTTGAGTTACAGTTGTGCTGAGATACCATAGACTCACATTGCTTATTGGTAATATTTGTAATTGAATATTTAACCTTCGGCATCCTCTGAGGGTCTACCAACATTGGAACTGGTACACTCCTAATTTTATCCATTAAGTCTTGAGCGTGATCTATAGCCACAGAAACGGATTCCCCAACTAACTTATTTATCCATTTAAATATCTGGAACTTTAATTGTTCTAATTCATCAACATCCGTTCCGCGGCTATTTGGGTTTAGCTCCAAATAATTATGCCTGTCAATTATTTCTCCTGCCAAATCATTTGCTACTACTTGTCTCAGAGCCTTATCTTGGAACTGGCCCAGATTCAACCTAATCAACCATTCGTTTATTTGTTCACTAATCTGACTAGTATAATGGTCTAAATTAACCTTCAAATCTTCTTCATCAATAGGTAATATACTATCATTATCTTTGTTTGTATTGTTGGTTGTGTTATCTTTATTGCAAGGAACAGGAAAAATTGTGTAAGTCTTCCGGCAATATTCATCATTTAAAATTTCTTGTAATCTATGTAACAATTTCTTGGTTATAACATAAGCTTCCTGGTTTGTTATTTCGCCTACATGCATGACTGTATTCTGGACTTCTAATCTGATATGAGAATCGATGCCATACCTTATATAGTCAATTGAATCAACTAGAACGTCAACCAACTCGTCTTCAATGCTCAGAATTTGATCAACACTCATATGTTTACCTGATTTCTCTAAAAACTCAAGTAAAACATCTTCTATTAGGTTTTTAACATTACTGTCGGTTAGACTAGTTTTTTTCTTATTATTTTGATTCAATTCAGTTTGTTGACTTGCTTTCTTCTCACCAACTTGAGTGGTTAAACTGTGAATTTGATTTAATAGAACATCAGTTGGTTTGTTCAAATTTGTCTTCATGTTGCTACAGTCATAAAAGGGTATTCCTTCCATTACTTTCAAGATTTCTGATTTTAATTCACTTTCTGATAGGTATTCATTTAAAACAAGTGATTTTATTTCATTTGCAGTAGAATTTAAAATAGAATCTCTTTTGGCAGACCTATCTAAAAGGTTCTTGACTTGTAAATTGAGTTTATTTAGCCAATTTTTAATAACGTTATCAAGTTTCTGTTCTAAAATTACCCACGGTGATTCAATTTGGTCGTTTCCTTTGTTTGATTTGCAAAACTTATCAATACACTTTGCATTATTACAATAATTAGTGCCTTCTACATTTACTATGTAACTGTTTTTACCTTCAGTCTTATATTTATCTACGTCTAACCCTTTGTCAATTAATTTATGACATGCTCGTGGTTTCTTTATACAATTAAATGACATTTCTTCAAGTAGCTCTAAAGCATCCCACCTGAAATCATCATAAGTGATTCTCAAATGATGATGGGACTTACTTCTTTTATCATCACTCACAATACTATGATTGTTTCTAAGTTCTATACAACTGCAGATAGTTTGAACAGATTTAGGAGAAACAAGTAGAAAATTTGAACGACTTAATATAGTTTTACTAAATTTTAAGTCTAGGGAAAAGGAACATGGGACGCAGCTGCATTCACCTGCGTCTTTTGCAGCTGATGGTGATGGGGTGAGAGGAACAGCTACCTGAAACAATAGATTTAAGAAAACGACATTGAATTCCAGAGGAGTGTGTGAGGAATTTCATATTTATTATTGATGCAACTTTTGACATTTACTAATGTCATCATCAAATGTAACATTTACAAAACAGACTCCATACATTGTTCTTTCGTAGTGTTGACAACCTGAGAGCTATTACCAAAATGTAGAATATAAATATGTCAGAAATTGTTGGAGATTATTTTGGGAACAGTTTATAAAATGTCGACAACGAGTAAAATGTTGACATCACTGCTCTACCATCATGGGCATGTCTCACTTTCCTGACTGCTATCTTCACTTACTATAAGTAATGTCTTACAGTTCTTCTAGAAGGTGCAGGTCTTGTTACTGTAGACACTTCTCTGGACACCATCATAACGGCCGCTGTACAACAAATAAACAACTATTGATGATAGTGCTACTGACCTCGATACAGCAAGGTCATGAACGTCCATCCTGAACAAAGATGCACAAAATTTTTGCTAGGCAATTTGAACTAATGTATAATTCACATTTATATTTCCTTTTCATAGTACACAGATATACATTTAAGATTTTTATCTATTTTAAACTTAAAATGAAAACTTTGTAATTTAAAAGGTATTTGATTTAGTAGACCATAATACACATATATATATAATTGTGAACGACATTGCAAAGAATACAGAATCTTAGTCCAATAGAGCAACATGTACGAATAGGTGAACTAAATAATACGAATGATAAAAATCCCACAAATCGGTTACTGCAAATAAATCAGGAGTACCTCAGGGAAGTATTCTGGGGCCACTGTTACTTCATTAGTAAACTAATAACTTGCATAAAGTAACTAATTAAAAGTCTGTACGTTTTATATATTTATCTGTCCATACTTCCATATTTATATTATAAATGAGAAAGTGAGTTTGTTTGTTTGTTACTCTTTCACGCCTAAACTACTAAACCGATAACAAAGGGTGCGTTTGACCGCGATAACAGACATGCAAGCGGTGTCGAAGCTGCAAAAGTTAGTACATAATACAAATAAGTAATATAAACGTTAGTAACTGTAATTATCTAATGTCTACTATAAATTAAGTGAGACAAAACAAATCACCTTGACTTTCAGTGTCCACGGAGGTAACGAAATTCTGGAAAAAATAAAGATTTTGATAGACTATGGTGTAATTCTGGGATAATCGAGCGAAAAGATCACCTGATGGTAAGTGACTATCTCCGCTCTGGAGTTAAGCGCATTTGTGGGCTTTTAGTGTCTTTCTAAAAATCAAAGGCCTTGGGTAACCTCACACAATCACTGAAATGCAATAAAATGCGATGTGATGTCGTGGTATAGACATAGAGAGTGAAAGAGACAAAGCGATTGTGCGGCAAAAACCTGTCTCTTTTCTGCAAGCCTTATTTTTTACTTATTACGGTAGCATAATAGTTTTTTTTTATTAATTGAACAAGTTTAGATATATTTTTATTACTTACTAAACATAATCTACAATAATTTACATAAAATATATACACTTGATATTCATAACCTTACTTATTTGTAAACTTACCCAGTGACGTTAACCAATCAGAATACTAGAAAGAGACAACTACTGGCCGCACATTCGCTTTGTCTCTCTCGCAATTGTCTGTCTGTATTCACTGCACAACAGACTAAGGAACAAGCAGTCGATTCTCTATGTCAATGGGCCGTGGTATCACTCCGGTCAAGCCAGCAAATATGGGCCGAAGCATGGCGCTCCCACGGTATATTGTATTGATTACTTATACATCTACTGAAGATGTATCTCACTCCACTTCGAGCTTCTCTAATTATCCATGTCATAATCACCAAAATGAATTTAACGATACTCACGTTTGGTTGGTCATATGCTTTAAGGTCTCCTTTAGGCGTAGGAGACATATTAGTGGACTGAAAAAAGAGAGTAATGTTTACTAAATTTCTCTGATCAGCGTCTGTTTTATTGATTTCTCCACTAACAGGACGGAAATACAATAGTATGCGATCTCTAAAAAAGTTGGCGACAGGTACAATGGCTGGCGATAAAACCAACCACAAAATTCTTTCCAATGTTATAAATTGAACGGACCTCAAATGGAGTATGGAGTGGAGTAGGCAGATGTTGATGATGGTTGTTTATTTTTAACTAGTAAGGGAATATCAATCTTGGTTTGAACAATTTGGGTTACAGAAGTTTTTAAATATATTTCAGAAGTATCGGACAGAAATAATGAACAACTAAAAGAACCTAGTGCATTAAGAATCTACTTCTATTACTGTTAAATTCAACAATCGCAGTGCTAAAGAATGTATTAAAACTTAATTAAAAATCCTTATTAATGAATTAAATCTAAAAACTTCTCGTTTATAATGTGGCGGTAACAACAATAATAAGAGTTTCATAAACTCACTCTGTTGGGAACTCTTGCGCAATTTGTAACACGTTTCGGTATCTCCTTTATATATCTCACTTCGTACTCCCTCGGTATTTTGAAGTCTCCATTGACACCGGCAGACTCAAGTCTTTTCTCTCTAGTGGATCTTTCAATCTTCTTTATTCTAGTGGCGATGTCATGTTCACCGGGAGTATCTCGGGTACTCTTAGTGGGGCTTTTGACGCGATCCTGAGCGTAGTAGTCATCCGATAGTCGAGTAGGAGAGTATTGGGTACGGTGGGTAGACTGGCCTGATACTGAAAATAATGATTTATACAAGACAACTCACCCATTAGGAATAAATCCTGTGTCGCGGGGACTTTACAAACATACATGAAACGGACACAAAGAACACCCAGACTCAGAACAACAATTTGTGGATCACACAAAGTGTCGTCCCATGTGGGATTTGAACCAACAACACTCGGCGTAGTAGGAAGCGGCGTCAAGACAACTCCCGCATTAGGAATAAATCCTGTGTCGCGGGGACTTTACAAACATACATGACACGGACACAAAGAACACCCAGACTCAGAACAACAATTTGTGGATCACACAAAGTGTCGTCCCATGTGGGGTTTGAACCCACAACACTCGGCGTAGTAGGAAGCGGCGTGGCGACCGCTTAAACCACTACGCCATCCGTGCAGTCGCAGATTAAACGTTGAAGTACCTGTTGATATAGTGGTTTACGATCCTGAGTGTCAGAGGTCGTTCGATTGCCACCTAGGATAAATATTGCGTGATGTAATTTGTTTATAATATGTATTCACTACTTCTGAATTGTGTATGCTGTGTGAGAGAACAAAATAAAGACTTACTATCTTTATTTATTTTATATACACATATTGATTACATGTTACAGGGACAAAGACACCGGTGGTTAGGGCTCCGAAGACAGGAACCTCCTCACGAATTATTATCATTTAGGAAATATATGCTTGACAAACTTAGCAGCGCACTGTCGCAGATGTGGCGAAGAGAATCGCGAAGACGTGGAGAGAGGTGAAGTGCGGTGTGTCTACTGTGGACTCCTTCTGCCCCATCTCGGGGACTTAGGATATTAAGTTAACGTAAGTCAGGCAATATATGGGTATGTTTATTTAGATGTATCCGGTTGACGGCAATACACTTGCCTCCTATTAGAACTAAACATCATAGTCGGCAAAACGTAAACGTTTTACGGACGTCAAACCGCCGTAAGCTTAACCCTCCCGATAGTTTGCGGGACGCGGAGTGGGGGTACGCTTAATCAATTAGCTAGTGTGTCGCTGTCCGCCAGCAGTGACTGACGTGGAATGGCACACACGGTATTATTTCGCAAACATGGATGATCTGCCGACTCTGCGTCAAAAAAACATTCAAGAACATTTGGACGAATTTAAATTGTTTAAATAAACGTTTTCTTTTGTTTTTTTTTTATTTTAAGTTGTCAATTATTAATGTGACAGATTTAGGATACGGAGAATATATCACCACCCCTATTTATCCCGTGGGTGTCGTAAGCGCCGACTAAGGGAGCAAACTACGCAGGACAACAGCACTGCAAATAAATTAAAAACTTGAAACAAAACCTATTACAAAATTAGGCCTACTAATGAGTCCTAATTTGTCCTCTCTGTCTCTGTCTGTACATCATGAAAAAAATTAAAATGGTCAAAGAAAGAATCTAAAAGTTTACAAGTCGAATATTTCAACAAGGTTACAAAATCTGCCTAACTTGAATACTTCCGTAAGTCTAAAACTCTATAACTCGAATTATTTGGCGTCTCTCTTGAAGTTCGGCTTACAGAGGTTCTACTGTTTTAATAAAGAATATTTTTTATTTTACTTGATTATTAAATTGTATCTGAATATAATTTACATGATAAAGATAAGGTGATTCATTAAAATTATTTTACAAGTATTAAAATTTTACAATTAATCATACAAACTTACAATATACTGGAATTATATACATGGAAATAAATTCGATTTTTATTACATCGTGTGTAGATTAAATCTCAAACAAATAAATCTGGAGATATCGAGATAGTCATCGTGTCATGTATAGCCGAGCGCATCACCCGCCCCGCGTCCCGCAAACCATCGGGAGGGCCAACCTTACGGCGGTTTGAGTACAATACGTATCTGTCTACCCTTTTGGGGAAAAAGACATGATGTCTTTACGTTTGTAATACTGCTCAGCTGAATGATGAGATGGCCAATTAGTATCTCAGTCTTAGTTGCGTCTCCAATCACCAGCCTACCCCGCAGCTTCTTACTACATTCAGTCCCATTTCCCCATACGAAACTTGTGGTATCCTACCCTACCCTGGCTGTCTCGCTCCATTCGTTTTCTATCTTTTTCCTTTGATGCATCTGATAGCGGTTATATTCCCAAAGAGGGTTGGTGATATGCAGGCACCGACAATAATAAAAAATTCATTGCTGAGATCTCAAAGAAACTAAAAGAGGTAGAAACAAGATGAGGTATTGTATAGAAGAAGAACTATGTTATTATGGAGCTATCAGGAACTTGGATGACGTATGGCGAGAAGAATCACCTTATTAAAAGCTCAAAGAAGATGACAGTTCGTATTGACACGCCCAGTGTGTCGTCGTCGTCATGGTTAAGAATTGAGACAACTTGATAAGAGATGGGCTTTGACTGATTTGTAAAGACCTCTAGCACTGAAGATACCGTCTAGTTTTAGTAGATTCGATTAGAATGAAATCGTAAAAGAAACAGATCTTCCAACAATAAAGAACTAAGTGATTTCTGTAACACAATCTGGTGTTGAACAAATTGTGTGATTTGTGTTCTTTGGTGTATTTTTAAAATCCCAAATAAGAAAGGGATACCTTCAGAGTGTTTTTTTTAAATCTCCTTTCTAAGGAGAGGACTATGTCTAGCAGTGGACTATTAAAGGCTGTTGATGATGATGGTGAGAACTTTCGAAGGTTTTTTCATGGCAAAATACTGAGCGAGACACTGAGATTTCAGTTACATTTTTAGCCTCCAGTAGATCTGCAGTAAAACAAGATGTAAAAAACAGGCAAAAGTACTTACGTTGTTTAGTCGGCGAATATGTGATGAGTCTTTCAACAATCTCAGTGGATCTTTCAGGAGACAAGCAGGGATACTTCCGCAAGGAACTGACGAACTGGCGGCTTGCGAAAGAGTTTTGTGGAGAGCAGTTGCAGCCTGGCGCCCCTGGATAATGAAGAGATGGATTTCAACTTTGATAGTCGGTAAACACAGCAGTATGAATAGGTTCTAATTATCCTATTAATACGAGAACAAAATGTAGGGCATACCGTGGAAGAGTCATGCTTAAGTACAAATAGGCGGGAAAACCAGGTTTAAGCACTTCTTTTGTTTCATTCCACTGAGCGAATGTGGTTACTATAGCCCAAACCCCTCTTCCCATTCTCTCCACTTGTGCCACTTGAGCTACATTTGTCCATAAGTCGTTTACCTGCTAAACCATAAAAAAATATCACCTTTGTCTGTCCCGGCTGCACACTGGCTTACTGGAGGTTTCTTAACAGGAATGTGCGCTTCCCCACTGCCTGCACCGCCAACTTCAAAATTACCATGCCCTGTTGAAAATATTTGAAGTAAAGTACACATATATAGTTAAGGGTCTCAGAGTTCCCTGCAAGAACCAGTTCCAGTGACAAGTGTACGACCCTGAGCTGCTCCAGCTATTGCGCCACTTTCCAATTTATATGCAACATTCTTTTCCTTATATTGCCTTTCCTTCTTGACTACCTTTACCTTCTGATCTTATTCCGAGCTTTTTTCCCAATCTAGGTTGGGTTCTTTTTTCTTTCTTTTTAAAAAGACAACTCCCGCATTAGGAATATATCCTGTGTCGCGGGGGATTTTACAAACATACATGAAACGGACACAAAGAACACCCAGACTCAGAACAAGAATTTGTGGATCACACAAAGTATCGTACCATGTGGGGTTTGATCTGACAACACTCGGCGTGGTAAGAAGCGGCGTGGCTTAAACCACTACGCCATCCGTGCAGTCACGTTGGCTTTATATCTACAACGATACGGCTTAACTTTGATTGTTCACGAGGAGCTATTGCCATCAGACCTATTCAACAATCCAAGTATACTTGGCAAAGTTCTGTAGAAAGATTGTTGTCGAACTTATTAGGGGTCCAACTATCCGTAACCATTGCCACAGACGTTCGTATAGAGGGACCGACGGCTTAACGTGCTCCGAGGCACGGCGGGGTCTCAATGTGTTAAGAACGGTCACCCATCCATAGACGGGCCTGGCTGGGGTTGTTTTACTTGTCGGTAACCACTTAGCCACGAGCTCTTCTAATATATTCCCAATTTTTTTTAATTTCTAGGGCAGACCAGCTTGGACACAATATTACGAGCTGCAATTTTTTTTATGACTCGAATGTTGATGGTAATTAGAAGACATTACTTACGGGCGCAACCCTTGGGTCTTTGTGGAGGGAATTCATCAACCTGCACAGTAGGAGATGTAGGACTCATATTACAATGCGCGGCCTGGAAATAAGAATATTTTTTTATGGGAAGTAAAGTTTTATTTTTTCGCGGACTTCACTTATTCATGATCTCTTTATATACTTTTAGTCTCTATATACAAAATGGATGCTTGAAAAAGGTCAAGTTCCTAAGTGATAGTATAGCAATCCAGACCCGCAACGAAGTACCCGACCAATTGTGTAAGAGTCTTTTGACCAGCAGTGGTCGTCAGGTGAGATGATGATGATTATGTAAATACAATTTACGAGAGCCAAAACATCATAGTGTTTTCACAGTAATGGCTTTTTTGTATCAATAATATGGACTAATACCGGCCAGCCATACTACAAATTTTATATCCCCATCACCTGGATAATTGGCGTTCCACCACTGTGCGCTTTTCAAGACACTTTTTGCCTCGCACGCACGCGTTATCGTCTGCGGTATTGCCGGACCGATACTACCTTCACACCTTTAAGAAAAGAGCGTACTCCTTCCTAAAAGGCAGGCAAAAACGCGTGTGACTCCTGAGGCGGTAGTCACTTTCTATCAGGTGAACCGTCTGCTCGTTTGCCCCCTCTTACATAAAAAAAACATCATCATCAACAGCCTATAACTGCTGAACACACTAACACTGCTGGACATAGGCCTCTCCTTAGAAAGGAGGTTTTGGCCTACTATACCACGCAGGCCAGACGGGTTAGTATAGGGTTTGTTTCAAGTTTTCCTTCTCTTTGCAGTGCTGTTGTCCTGCGTAGTTTGCTCCCTTTTGTTGGCTCTTACGACACGCACGGGATGAATAGGGGTGGTGACACTTCGTATTCTTAATCCTTCACCACACGGATTTACCGTCACCACAAAAAAAACATAAAAGCTCTTAAAACTCATACCTGATAGGTACTAGTGTATCTGCCATCTACAGCTTGAGCACTAGAATTGCAATGGTAATTTAATGTATCTTGACAACCGGTGCTAACTCGCTGCGCCATCTCTGAAACATATACAAACCATTAGCCCATTTCAAAAGGGGAGGGTTACTTAATTGACAACCAAAACTGAAATGCAGAAATTCGCTCATTGTTATAATTTCAAAATTATGTTGAGGTCAAATAAGTGTCGAAATAACCAGCAGAAGACAACACGAGGATTTCCGCCATCAACAGCACTATTCACAGCGCCATCTAACGAAGATAAGTCGAACTACGAACTAATAACCCCACACATCTCACACACGGCATATCCCAAACTAGACAGAGCCTGTATTATGGTAACCAGACTACTGATAAACATACTTATATATTTCTAAAAATATACATATCCTAACTAAATTACACCCAGACACAGAACAAATGATCGTGCTCATCACACAATTATTTGTCCTGAGAGGGAATCGAATACAGGAGCTCCGGATTAGCAGTCAGGGTCACCAACCACTAGACCAACAGGCAGGCCAGTAATTACCGATATTAGATCACGCACTAAAAGTTTGCGCTCGGATTAGTGTATATAAAACTGTCAACATCCAAAGTATGCAGTGGTCTATCGCCATAATCAACTCTCCTGGTTATGGAATAATCAATCTCTTCACGTTTGAGGGACTTGATATCTACCTTTGACTCTTTAGTAGTCTTTAGAGGTTGTGGATTTGATTCCTAGGCTAAATAATTGTGTGGTGAGCATGACCATTTTTGTTTCTGAGTGTAGGACCTATTTGTCTACAATGTATTTTTTTTTAAAAAAACTTCTGTAGGAATATATCCTGTGTTGTGGAGGACTTTACAAACATTTTTTTTTTCTTTTTTTTTTAAAAGACAACGCCCGCATTAGGAATATATATTCCTGTGTCTCGGGGGACTTTACAAACATACATGAAACGGACACAAAGAACACCCAGACTCAGAACAACAATTTGTGGACACACAAAGTGTTGTCCCATGTGGGGTTTGAACCCACAACACTCGGCGTAGTAGGAAGCGGCGTGGCGACCACTTAAACCACTACGCCATCCGTGCAGTCAAAGTCCGTTGGGATCAGACGGCCGTGTGTGAGATGTGTTTATTAAAATTTCTCATTATCATACGGTACGGTAAAATCGATCTAAGTAGGCCTATGTCCAGCGGACTGCGGTAGGCTGATGATGATGCAACGGTAACAGTCCTCACCTCCATTTGGGATCAAGGTATACCGCTTGTCCCCGTCCACAACCGTCACAGCGAGCCCTGAGTCCTTCAAACTTCTCACCACCGCGACCATACCTTCACTCGCCATGATCCATTCAGTTAGAGGTCATTAGGCATAGGAATGTGCTAAACAACAAAAACAGACCATTTTACTTCATGGTATAATGAGAGACCAGCTCGATCAGCGTGGTAACATGGCCTCAAAGAAAACCGCTGCTAAATAATTGCATTTAATTGAGTGAGTGAGCTAAACAAATGCTCAACAGCTCCTCTCCCTTTAGGGAGGAGCCCTCTCCCCTCGTAGGAATATATCCTGTATTGTGGAGGACTTTATAAACATTTAATGTAACGGATACAAAGAACACCCAGAATGTATTTAGATACATATAATATGTAAGTGGCGGTCGTGTAGTGATGGAATAAATCTCTTTTAGTAAAACCAATCATTTCATCATATGAATATGATTCAAAAGTAGCAATAACTTCCATGTCTGCAGGAATCAATGCTTTACTAAATAGAACACTTACCGACATTTTGAGAAGCCTTAGAAAGGAGTAACACGTATCAGGCCGGTAACAGCCTAGAGATTCCTCGTGCCGAATAGGCCTGACGGACAAAAAAGAAAACCTCTAAATCAAAGATTCTAAGCTCTCTCTCTTCGGGGATAAAAGACGTCTGTATAAAAAAAAAGTTGCTAGATCCCTTGGCAGAAAAATTACCTCAAGGAGATAAACTCCCCTGGCCAACCTGGAAGGCGCTCAATAGGAGCGTACTCAGGTTGGCTGAACCAAGGATAATATGTCAAGGTCGGGATTTATCGACCCAAGCGCAAATAAATGCGACTGTGGCGCGTCTCTACAGACAATAGACCATTTGTTTACATATACCGCATGCCCAGAATCATCTTGACGACCTGTATCAAGCAAGGCCAAAAGCTATTCGAACCAAAACCGTCTAATGTGTTGTCGATACGAGAAGAAGAAGCTGCTACGTCCCTATTCCAAGAATTATGGGAGACGGGTAATTAAAAAGGCGCCAATGCACTTCTCAACAGCTATTCTAAACAGAGTAATTCTCAGTTCTAATGCCTTTCAAGAACATCCTCAAAACAAACAGATTCTCCGTCTTTCTAGCTTCAGTCTTTCTTGACATTCGGCAATAACTACAATACTTATGCCAAATAATATTCAAGATGTTTGCCGGTTTCTATACTGTTGAATATACCTACATTTCTCGGAAGAGCCTCTTAAAATTCCAATCCTTCCCAAGGAATAATATAATTTAACTTCACTGTAGGAATTTAGAATTTGGGATGAGATTTTCGCTCTCTACATGTCACTAATTTGACAAATTCTTTATTAATTTTTTTGGTCAGATAAATCCAAAAAGATTGACACGTGTAGATTCTATACTTCAAACATTGTTCTTGAGTTTATACACATGTCATTATTCTGCTGGATGACCTCAGGTGCATCACAGCCCACTACTGGAATTGCAATGAAAGTGTTGGATGGCGGCATGCCATTACTTTTAAGGATTACATAAGATTTCTAAGATGAAATAATCATCATGATGAAGTCAAGGTTTCACTATAACTAAAAAGTAAAACGTGCCCACGATAGGTTGCGCACAAATAAGGTAACGAGGTCAGTAACGAGATCATTCGATCACTAAATTTTACTCTTCATATTTTTTCACACCTTCCGCCTTATATGAAAATGGACTCTTAAGGAGTAAACTGCAATAAGAACATATTAAATCCTTCCCCTCCTTCTTGCTTCTGGAAGGAGCTTGGCTGGCTCACCTAGTCAACCAATCCTCGACGCATAAAGGACCACTCTGAGTCTAAATGCGGAAACCGAAGCCCACAACAAATACCAATACCAATACCTTCCCCTCCTCCCCTGATTGTGGGTGAGAGTAGCTCAAACGGTGACAACGTAATCGTGACTCCTGAGTTACCTACAAAGTCCAAGAACAGAGTGTTAGAAAAGTACTGGAACGGCACAATAATGCATTCTTCGGAAATATGTTAATCGATAAACACAAAGGTTACAGTAATTTTCCCTGGCTTTCCATTAATGATCTGGATTAAACGAAGGTTATCTCAAGGGCCAAGGACAATTTCACCAATGGATGGCCAGCGAAAATTCCTGTAACTTTTGAAAAATGCATCCCTAGCGAATTATTCTTGAACCCGGCTGATTGATTGCATATTTTTGAACCCGGAATTGAAAAGAGAAAAAAAAAATACAATTGGAAATACAATGGAACGCAAATTTTAACCTCTAAAGGTCACCAATCCAAGGTCACGGTATACAAAGAAGAAGTTCACATCCTGGTAGAAATATGTAAGTAGGTTAGTAATCATATCAAATCTGATTTATAAAATTAAAAATAAATCCTTCAATAAGTAAAATGCCACAGTCAATAAAGTGTATTAATTCATAAAATAGTACTTGAAAAATATTCAAAAAACAGTCAAATATTAATTAAAATGTTTATTGAACTATTATGATAAATTATAAGTGTTATTATTTAAGAAGAGAAAGACATGGCACCGTCAGGAGATCTTTTACTTTTAGTCCACAACGTCTCAAGTATTAGTGTGGATTTCAAGGGACCTATGGCTACATCTCAAGGTTCGTACGCTATTCAATCTAGCTCACGCCCCATCATCATCATCTTCATCATCTCTTTCCCAAATATATTTAGGGTCGGTGCAATGAGTTTTCTTCTTCCATTGATCACTCGACATCCGTGGTGACGGATTAAGAATACAGAGTGTCACAACCCCTATTCATCCTTTGGGTGTCGTAAGACCTGACAAAGGGAGAAAACTACGCAGATCAAGCACTGCAGAGAGAAGGAAAACTTGACACAAACTCTATACCAACCCGTCTGGGCAGCGTGGTATCATCATCATCATCATCATCATCAACAGCCTATACTAGTCCACTGCTGGACATAGGCCTCTCCTTAGAAAGGAGGTTTTGGCCTACTATACCACGCTGGCCAGACGGGTTGGTATAGGGTTGGTTTCAAGTTTTCCTTCTCTTTGCAGTGCTGTTGTCCTGCTTAGTTTGCTCCCTTAGTCGGCTCTTACGACACCCACGGGATGAATTGGGGTGGTGACAATTTGTATTCTTAATCCGTCACCACAGGAGGAGGAGGAGGAGGAGGAGGAGGAGGAGGAGGAGCGTGGTATAGTAGGCCAAAACGTCCTTTCTAAGGAGAGCCCTGAGTCCAGCAGTGGACTATTAAAGGCTGTTGATATGATGACTCGACATCCTCTTTCAGGCACTCCTACATTTCGTTGCGATACGGTTTTGACTTTTTATTTTATGGCCGGTGACCTGTCTGACACCAACGCTCCAAGGAAATGTAACCGTTCTTCGTACATTCCAAGCAGCCAGGGTTCCTATAGTTCAAAATATCTTCCTATTAACTAAGCTTTATTTAATAAAACTTATAAACTTTTGACTTATCTGGTGCACTTATCTACAATTACTATGTTATCTTTGCGATGTAAATTCATTATATGTTTTCAACAAAATTTTGTCACGAACGAATCATTTCAGCATTATCTAAATAATAATAATAATAAGCCCTTTATTCTGAATTATCTAAATACAATATTAAACAGTTCATAAGATTAGTCTATAAAATATCTCGCAATTCAGAGTGCCTCTTGGCATAGGCCTCCTCTAGCACTTTCCATTGGGTTCTGTCTTGCGCTACCCTTCTCCAGTGGTGTCCAGCTGTTACCCTCAGGTCATCTGCCCATCTCGCTTGTTGGCGTCCACTATTACGTTTGCCATCTCTGGGGTACCATCTGTGACTGGTGACTGGTACCCCAGCATTTTCTACTTCTCAATTTCCCTTAGGGTAGGCGTCATGTGTAACTTTGAAAACCTTGAAGGGTAAGGAAAACGCATAGGACGAGAGATATAGGGTATCAGATACTAAGTCTTGAACAGTTAACGGGACGGAGACTACAGTGGCTTAAAAAATTCAGAGGGACTAGTGTGAGTTAATTTACATCTACTCGATCGGTGACCGCGTTTAGCTTTGCGATTAGTGAAGAGTTTAGTTTAGGGGCCAATCATCGACTCCGTGACGATCGAGTAGTAATAAAATAAATCTACACTAGGCCTATAGCCAAACCTATTTGTCCATTTAATGATTGAAGAAACCTCTTAAGACATTGACATCGTCTTTCTCAGCTTATATTAAATTCAAAGAAGGTGTCTTTTTAATGGGGGACAAAAGAGCAAACGGGTAATCTGATGTTAAGTGACTACCGCCACCATTAAACTTCCTCCTCTCTCCAGAATCAGAGGGAGGATTGGGCTCCGGTAGCCTCACTAACTCCGAACTCGAACCAGGCAATTTATACCGAAGTATAGTTCTCCCACGCCTAAAAGGTCGCATAGGTCGCAATGTCTGACAAATTACTTTGATCATGTATGCTGCAATTTTTACATGGTTAGATTTTTTTTTGCTAGATTGCACAGAACTATGGTAAGCTGTCTTTAGAGGTCTTTCAATAATGATGTTATTTAAATTTACAAGATTAGCATCGACTAAATAATTAATTTCATATGCCTAACTGCTCGTCCGCATCTGTACGCATCAAAACTCACTTCCAATTTTCGTTTTTTGTGCAGAATTAAGATCAAGATCCTTGGAGTCATGCAGGACCTCAATGAAAAGTGTGGTGTTAATTCCAACAGCTATGAACCAAGGAGATATGGTCAAAGATCCCAAATTGAAGCGCACAGAGGCCACTGTCGAGCCAGGTCCAGTGGCAGAGAGCGACAACGACAGACTCAATCAGTACAGGAATATGAAATTTCGGAGAGAAATTCACAACTTTAGAAATCATCCATGTGTTCTGGTAAGTACTATTTATTTTCTTTAATTATCACACACACAATTAGCCCAGGTTCTGCCTAGTTTGGGATCGGACAGCCGTGTGTGAAATGTGTGAGGTATATTATTATTATTATCTGTTGGTTCGTCGCGTTCCTTTCTTTTTCGTTTATTTTACAATACACATTGAAAACAAGCTTTCTCGCTTGATATCCGAGTTGCTTTTTTAAATATTTTATTGCAGCAAGTGTCAGATCTCCTATTTAACATGACAACCTATCCGTTTTAATTACCTACCATCTCAAAATCAATATTTTTAAGATCATTGTCGTGTATTAAGATTGTAGTTAATTTTTACCAAATCGGGATAGATTTAATGAAAAGGAAACGAAAAAATTTTTTTTCCGTTTTCAGAATTGTAACCAGAATCAGTGTCCTGCGCTGAAGGAGAGGTTGGAACATCACAGATGTGCAAACTATCGTCACCGCGCCAAAACGAATGCTACAAAGAAATATCGAGACCAAGGAGTTAGTACTTCTATTTTCTACACGTTTGTTGATATCTTTCTTTATTTTTTTAATGATATTTTTTCGAACAAGGCGGAAAATTACTACCTCCGCCCATGAACGCCTGCAACTCAGAAGTAACAAACGCGTTTTTTGGAGGCTTTTGAGGAAGGAGTACGGTCTTTTCTTGAAATCGTATCGGTCGGGAAATACCGCAGACAATAATTTTGTCCACAGATTAGTTGTGCGAGGCAAAAAGTGTCTTGAAAAGCGCACAGTAATGGAGTGCCCATTATCCAAGTGATTGGATTGTAAATTATGCCGTGTGGAACGATGGCGGCAAGTTGCGGCCGGTATTAATTCAAACAATTCCTCGGAGCACTCTCCAAGATATATATAACAGAGAATGCAGAGTGAAGCTGTATCTCTGCGTAAGGCCAAGCGATTGAGCCGGGCGGAGATCTTCCGGCTGCAGTGCGACCACGTCTTCTGAGATTATAAATTGTATTTCCCGTCGTGGGTGGTGTCAGGCGTCATACTGTATGACTATCGTCGCGCCTGATTCTCTTCTCGAAAAAACACGTCTGTCGAAATCAAACATGCTTTTTAGTTATATCCAATTAAATAAATTGAAATCCTTAATTCCAATCTGACTTAAAATTCTTAATTTTACAGATAAACGTGTCACCTGCTTGGTCAGAATTAACGCTCCCACAGATCACGATGCCAATGGTAAGCGATGGCAAAGCAATACAAACGGAGATCACACTAGAGGACTTCATTCTTCAAAATGAGTCAATTACTGATACTTTAAATTACCTCAAAGATTTATCACAGAATGGAAGTAACAGCAGAGAAGAAATACCAAAAATAATGTTCTACAAAGAGCATCTACAAAACGAAATACTTGACTGGTTACAGAATGTCCCGATATTTTACACTCTAGATTTCACAGTAGACTATCTAAGAGATAATATTGTAACTGTATTTGTGGACAGGATTGCACTACTAGTTCCGCTAATGCACGAAGAGAGTTATGCTGCAAGTGTCAAAGCTGAAATTGATGACTGCCTGAATATACTACCCATTTGGCTACCAAACTGCCACCAAGAACAGATACAGTTCAAAAATAGCTTAAGAGACAAACTGTATTATAAAATTGAAAAGTTAAACGAAAACATTGACAAACCTGATTTTAATATAAACGATGAAAACTTCACGGAGTCACAAGAAAAGGAACTAACAGATTTCACCAGTTTATATGTAAAAGTAGTTAACAGCTGGCTTCATAAAATTAAATTTAACAAGTTAATTTCAAGAAAGCATGTAATAGATGTAATGATGGAACGAATATTGCCATTACTAAATGAGCCCTTGCATGTAAGTCTCTGCAAAACTAACCTTAAAAGCAGAATACTTGACATTCTAGATGATTTACCAATAAATTTGCTTAGTGCTAAAAATAGAAATGTACACTTAAACAGATTTTCGGAAGATCTTGCGAATAGGCTGTTAAGTGCTCGAGCAAAATTAGAATCTCCTGAAAAGTACGTTGACGAAAAATTATCTGCCCATATGACTGGGACAACGATTTATAATAAGCAATTAAAACAAACTGTACATGACACGGTTACTAAAGCCTTAGGAAAGACAATGGCAATCACAAAATGCAACGTAGAAAGAGAACTGCGTGATGTTATATTAAATTGTCTTGACGCTTTACGCTCGGGGATTGAAAATAATGTCAGCAATGAGATATGTGACGTTTTACGTAGAACATGCAATATTACTGAAGAAAGGGCAATGAAATTTGCGAAGAAAATTAAACTCTACATAAAAATAGCATTGAAACACGAAAAGGCTATTAAAGAAACCAGTTTTCATTCTATTCAGCCTCGGCTGTCAGGCACCATGAGTATTTATAGATCCAGTGAAAGTTTTCCTATCACATCAACTCCAAAGAAACCAGTTAAAAAAGACACGCCTAGGTTGAATCCAGAAGAAATAGCATATATGAAACAAGTGGCAGATTTAGTAAGAGCCTGGATGCAAGTCCTACCAAAGAATTTCGATGATGACGTTGAATATAAAGAGACTATTATTAATGATATAGCAGGCGATATAATGGATGAAGTTAAACGACAACAGTTATCTCCTGAAGTTGACACAGAAAAAGATAAACATATACATTATTTTATGTACAGATGGCTCTCAAGATTTGAGGTTTTTGAAGACCTTAATGAAGCCAAACCTCTTATTGAAAACTTTCTTGTAAAACTAAAGCAAATACCTGAACCGCAGCTGACGGCACCACAGCATGGAACACGACAAGCAATGCGTAATTTAAAACACTTAGAGGCTGAGAATGGATGGGAAGAAGAATGCATACCAACAGGCATAGATATCCTGGAAGATCAAATATCCGTTTGGATGAATGAGCAACCTCCAGAAATCTACACTAGTGACAATAGAAAAACCCGTGCCAAACATATAAAAGATTTGGCATTAAAATTACAAGACCATCTGCGAAATAAGCATTCAGAAGATGAAATAACTGAAGAAATTAATGAATGGCTGAAACAGATCGTTAAATCTCAAGAAAAAGAACATTTAGGATTACTTACGCAATATCTTAAAGATAAAATAATTAACATTCCTCAAGACGAGACTTTAGACGCAAGAAATCAGAAGAGAAAGAGACAAAAAGCTGAATATCGACAAAATGTAACGAGCACAGCAAGCCCTGCACCTGATGACGCAGTTAGTCTCCAAGAAGACCCAGAAGAAACTATGAAAGAGTTCATTCTCAAGTACGTGGAACACAACTATGATATTGACGACCCCATGGCAAAGGGCGCATTTTGTCAGTTGCTAAAAACTGAACTAAGAAAGCTAAGTCCTTCTACAAGGCAAGAGTTATATGACAATTTTCCAACCACCGAACTTTTTACATCAGAAAAATTTGCAAACGAATTGGAATACATAAGCATGATATCAGACTGGTTGAAAAATATACCTATTAATCCTTTGTATAACACACCAGGTAATAGGGCTCGCGTGGACTTTGTTAATGATCTTGCCAGAAATATTCAGGAGGCAGAAGAGCAAAGAAAAGAATATTTAGATGGAATGGACTACGATTTGTTTTTGTCATCTGTTATAAGTATTTCTTTGCGGACATATAATTTACCCATACTACCTGAACATAAAGACAACATACCGTTAATGATTAATCAATTACTATCGAAAATAATTGCTAAACGTTCTTTGATCAATCAGCAAGAGTTGGCGACAAACAAAGTTACCGAAAAAAACTTAAGTGAATTCATTGACCAATTCATTCTAATTAATAATAGGGAGATAAATGATGATGAAGTGAAGCGAGAAGCTTGGACTGCTCGACTTGTTAAAGAAGTTAACAAAATACTTCACGAGGAAACAGATCTTTCAAAGCTAACTAAGACTCAAGTTTATGAAAAACTGTCACAGGTTCCAATTCCCGGCAAAGCTTCAGTAAGACGGTTTAGCTTAGAAATGGCATATGTAAAAGAAATAGCTGACTGGTTGAACAACTTGCCTCTTTTATCAATCACAGACTTACCTGAAGCCGAAAAAGAAAGGATTAATATGATATCCGAATTGGCTGAACGGATTTCAGAAAGAGAAACGAAGAAAAGTTCTGATCCAAACGATAACATAGCTGAAAAAAATTTAGTTGCATATATTACCAACTGGATATCAAAATTACCTTTGGACCCTCGTAAAAATCTTGTTGTACCAATTTTAATCCAACAACTCATGAATAGAATAGAAAAGATCAATAGAAAAGATATAACATTACCTGACGACTCCTGCGAAGTAGATAAAAGTTCAAGTATCAAATCAGATACGGTTATTAATAATGATAAAGATATCAGAGATCCTGGAACACACATAGTGGACTCAATAGAAGCCTGGTGCAATAGGTTGCCTATTGAAGGGAACGATCAAGATTTTATAAAGAATATGAAGCAAGAAATAGCTAGAAAATTATATCAAAAGATTGGCGAACTTAATGTAAATCCCAGAATATACAACGATGACATTCTTTATAAAAGCTTATTAGAAGACGAGATTGATACTATTTTAGAAAATTTACCTCAGAATACTGAACTGCAAAATAAGAGAAACGATTTAAAAACTGAGTTATTAAATATCATTTTAGAAATGAAAAGCATCATTGCCAAAAATTTAGCTGGTGATAATTACAAACATAAACTTGAGACTACTATAGATGCTGCAATTCCGAACCCAGTGCAGAATAGACAGATAATTGAACCAGGATTTGAGATATACAAAAAACATTTGGCCAATATGTTTATATTGGATAATTTTGACCACAGTGATGATGAAATTAAAAATAAATATGAAAAACGAATAAGAGAAGAAGTTGATAAATATTTTGAAAGTGCACTAAAAAGGAATGCGCTGCCCATGACGAGAGCTCAGATGTATAACGAACTTTATAGTGAGTTATTTAAAGTGCCTATGCCTAGTGAGAATTCCGTGGTAGATCAAGTAGAAGAAGTTAAAACGAGATGCGAAGTAGATGCATGGTTTGATGATTTACCCTTAAGAGAGGCAAGTGGTATCAGTGAGTATTTGGAGTGGGATCAAATTTTATCGACACTTGCTAAAAGGATTCATGACATAGAAAAATATGAAGCAAATTCTGAGGAAAAAATCCGCAAAGAAATCAGTAAATGGCTTCAAAAACTCCCACTGTTAACACGACAACAATCTAATATTGATCATTATATTAATAAACTTCAGAATACCTTAGAATCGAGTGCAGAGGCTAGAAAGTATGTTGCGGCTAATCCAAAAGAAGCAATCAACACAGTAAAAAAAAATCGACCTGATTTGCTGCCAAAAGTGGATCAAGAGACAGAACCTGTCGCAGAGGGCAAAAGATGCAACTTTGCCGCTACTTCATATAAAAGACCTGGAGACTTAATAGTGGAAATAGTAGAGAATTGGTGCGATGAAATAGAATTGATAGGGGACGAAGTTCAAAACAAACTAATTCAAGATAACCTATCAACAAAAATAATAATGGAAATATGTAAATTGAACATGGACGTAAGAATTTTGAACGATGATATAGTTTACGATCAGCTTCTTGATGAAAAACTAGAGAAATGTATGTCTAATTTACCTACAAGTCATAATTTTCAACAAAGCAAATCTGAAAAGAAACAACAATTAATAGAAATGATACGACTTATAAAACCACAGGTTAAAGAAGGCAATAAAAAACACGAATATAAAACGGAACTAAATGATACAATCACTAGCATTTTAAACGACCACAATGAGACTGCTGAGAAGTTACTAGAATTCAATAAGCTAAAAGAAGATATTATAGATAATTTTGTGCAGTTCAACTATAATCAAGACGATGATGAAGCCAAAGAAATATATAAGAGGAATTTACACGAGGCTGTAGTCAAATATCTCGAAGGTGTAAAAGATAAAGGTAAACAATTAGACCCGTTAATTCAAAGGAACCAATTGTTATGTGAGTTATTAAAAATACCTGTACCAAACAACTCATTATTGAAGGACGAAGTAGATGAAATAAAGATGAAACAAGAAATAGAGCAATTTTTCGAAGAAAACTCTTTAAACGATAATACGGCGAAAACGACACAAACTAAGAAAGTACTTGCCAAAAGGCTGAATGACATCGAGAAATCAGGGCATGATAATTTTAACGATGAAAAAATGAAAAGTGAAATTAGTAAATGTTTAAATAAGTTGGATAAAGAAGTCAATCCTGAGTTAATTGAAGAATTTGTAAAGATCCTCAAAAATAATGAAGCTGAAAGAAAGAGACCTCCGAAGAATGATAATCAGGATAAATTTACACCTGGTTATAGATCTGCAGGGCCTATAAATGGTAGTATGCCAACTCCCCAAACTCCATTATTTCACCCTGGAAATTCATACCAAGAAAATAGTTTGACTCCTCAAGTAGGGTCTCATAAACAAGGTCAATTTCTTCAAGTACCTCCTCTACTGGACCAGTCACACTGTCGATCTAATCAACAGTGGATATCTTTGGAACCAGCAACACCAAGAAAAGATGGTACTGTATATTATGAGCCGTCTAACGTACGTGAATTTGGCATAGATTTGGGTAAAATGAGCAATTGTCGCGACATGATTCAGCATCAACCGGAAAATTATGGAGGCCGTGAAAACGGAGCTCACCAAAACTCTTTTCTAAGTCCTCAAGGTTATAAACGCATCCCTATAAGCAAAAATAATGTTGGACTTGGTCAAAAGGTCGCTTCAAGTCCTCCTCTAGAACCTGCACAGAACTATTCTGTACCTTTTCAACATGGTGCGGATGTGAAATCAGACAGAAGCCCACCGCGTAATTTTCGTTGTTCTAATCAAAACCGAATTCGAAGTCCACTTCAACAATCGCAAAATAATGGAAATTATAAACCAAGCTCAAATCAACCGGTTAATTATCCTCAACCAGCTCAGTACAATCAGAATCAGCCGTTAAATTACAACGAATTCATGAGGCGGTATGGCGTTTCTGAGAAGCGCGGTGATGTGAGTCAAACATCTCTGAAGGGCCATTACAACAGTAATACCATAAGGCCTTACGCACCTTCGGTTTCAGATCAAAGATCGATCAGTGAAGCTACAAGCTACCGGAAAGTTGCAACCCCTCGTCAAATCCAAAGTGAAGCACATGAATACGAGCTCTGCCCGCCCCAGGATGTTTCACCAGACTCTCTGTTTCAATCGCCGGTGACTGCGCCCAGACGTTTATCGAGTCTTTTAACGGTACTTTCAGGGAATCCGAGCTGTTCCTCTCGTGGTCTTCGCCCGTCCTTGAGACCTTCGGGCAGATCATCTCCATTCTACTGTCCAACTACAGGTACTAAGAGGAGCTCGAGGATCTGCGACACTTCAGATGTATTAAAACCTTGTGTATGTGACTCGAGAAAGAGGTGCAAGCCTGGATCATATTGTATGGTTCCCGTGGAAGAATATTGTGAGGAGTGTGGTGGATTTACTCCGACATGGTGTAGGATGCCCATACGTGGATGTTTTTTCATGCACTGCTTCTAATATTTACGATATCTGTTCCGTATTAAAAAACCGCACTTAGTATTGAGAGTTGCACTATTTAATTGCCGGATATCTAACTTTTTTTGTAATTTTATACTGGTGAAGATACTTTGGTTTTAGAAGGATCTTTTTAAGATATTTATAGTTTTTTATATATTTACATAATTTTGTTATATCTTGTTGTTTAATTGTATTATGATTTATGATGTAATTATAGATTTCAGGTCTTTCCAAATACGTTTTGAATAAAAATGAAATGAAGGAATAAATAATAAAATTACAAAAAGTATCTTTCTTTTTAGTACCTATATTATATTACATTTGTCTTCGAAGAGTATTAATCCTTCACATTGTAGTGATTAAATCATAACTTGACGCTACAATCCGGCTAAGCTCACACGAGTTTTGCAAAAACGTTCGTCATGAAAGACAATAATAATAAACAAGTAAAGTAAATTTAATTGCTCCACCAACATTTTGGTGCAGAAAGCAGTTCTTAAAATAAAGAAACAAGAAAAACATATTTCGAAAACACACGACAGCTCTCATATACGAATTTTACAAAAATAAAAACACTTGAAACAAAATATAGAACACAAATTAAATGAAATATTAATTTATAATAATATCTTCTGGATACGCCACGTATTGTGAAGAGGTTTGTATCTGGAGTCCCAACCACCGGTATCTTGGTCCCGGTACCCGATACCGATGAGACAATATTTTTTTAAATGTATTTTGTTTTTTAAATCATAATATACTATACAGGGTTACTGTTTAAGTCTACCTAGATACTTTAAGGCCTTGAAGTAGCCATTATTTCTAATACATTTACTATGAACTATCATCAACCTAAACGTTTTCAAGATATTGGACTTTTAAGATTTTTTATTAAATTGCCGACATTTTGCATAATACAATTCTTTTTAGAACCTAAATACGCATTTTTTTTCATTTTTTACTGATTTTGTGTGGTTAATACAATATAGTACATTAATAACGAATACGGCAGAAGTTGATGTTTGAAAATAGGAAACAGAGTTCACAATTCATAGAAAAAAAACTTAGATGAATGACTACTAAACTTCCGGTATTTAAGAATTAACCTACAACCCGGTAGTAGGTACCCAGTAAAAAATTGGCTTTTATTTTTGACTGTTGACTGAACTGGACTGGACTTTGATTTGTGCTTCTGATACTGTAAAAAATTATGAATGATGGCACTATCCTAGACTATTATACCTTTTTAGATAGCTGACAATACGTACGTACATGTTTTCTAATATACTCGTATCTGTAACTTAACTGTCATAGATTGTATTTAAATATTCGTCAAAGAAAAAAAATACAAAGTTATTTATTTTTTCTATTATTAACTATCCCTAAAATATCTAGGTCAACTTAACCAGTAACCCTGTATCTAATGAAATAGAGAATAATAATATTTTTGGACATCTGACACACAACGCCATCTAGTTTCAAAATAAGCAGAGATTGTACCATAAAATATTTTATTTACCGCAAAATATTTTCAAATAAGTTTATTATTTTAGAATGTTTCACTTTTGTCTATGGCAAAATGAATTTAAAAAAAAGTATAGAGATATAACCTAGAGAGAACAAGAGGCGCAATCATGCAATATAGGGAATGAGAGAGATGGATAATAGATAGGTCTTCTCTATCTCTTTCTAGTCGCGTTCTGTGGTTGGCTGGGGAATATGAGGGGTTAATAAGTAGCCAATCGCAGCTTAGTTAAACAGAGAGCCAAACAAAGACAGAGGAAAATATAAGGTATCTATCTCTTTCGTTGCCTATATCGCTTCCACTTAGAGGCAGCTGTACTCCGTATTCGCTCTATGCTTAAATCTCTATGGAAAAAAGTATTTTCGAACGGTAGTCAATAGTGTTTGTAAAATATTTAGAAAACTGGAACCTTTAAAATAAAAGTTCTTTGGAAAGAAACTGATTTAATACTTTTCGTTCTTTGTTGCCTGAATTAACTTAAACATATAATTATGTTATAGATATTTTCATTGATCATTCCATTCGTTTACCTGCCCTCATACTATAATTATCTTCCAAGACATTTAATGTGCTCAATACGTTTGTAGGTTCATATTAAAGAACATAAGTATGTATATGTGGTATGTGGTATATAACCAATTCACAATTTTAGAAAAAAAACGGTTAAAAAACGCGCCCACAATCCCGTTTTCAAATAAATATAATATTTATAATCTGCGTTTAGAGTTGTTGCTAGCCAACAGAAATAAAACGTTTACTATTGAATTAATGAAATTTATGAAATCATAAAACATTTTACATCCATTAATATTAGAACATCAAAATTATTTTGCCGATAAAACAAAATAAAATGTATTCAAAAAGTAAATAAAAAGAAGTCAATTTGGAACTTTGACAACATTCCTGAGCATTGAGCAACACTAAAACAATAAAAAAAGTTAGTGCGACGCCATGACAGGTCACGTGATGTAAATTTTCGTTGGACATGCGCGATATCGCTGAATTTTTCAAGTGATTTTGAAATGGTGAGGGTTTTATCTCGTGAAATTATTGTTTAATTTTGTTGATGTGATCATCTTTAGTCGTATTTGGTGTTAAATAACTTGTGTTTAGCAAACTGTGTGTGAGATTAGTTAATTGTGTTGAAGGAAGTTTTTGTTTCTTAAAGGTCGCAACTATACATGGTAATGACACCATAAAATGATATTTTTGATTTGATATATCTGTGCTGTGCTTTGTTTTACCAGTGGTCGAGTTACTTCAGGTACTAAACATTTATTTGTACTTATATTTTGTTATTATTATTTGTTGGTGGAGTTTTAACGGTCGCCAAACGGCTTGGATACATTTAGCTTGACTTGACAGTCGCTTTGTCAAGACATCTTGAAGTTTGATAGGTATTTCTCGTAAGAATCTTCGTTGTGCCTGAAATTACCTTCTTAATGTACTTATTTTCGTTTTAGTCATACTAAAAAACTATGTTATATTACATATTTACTAACAAAGTGTCACATAGTTTATACCTTACTAAAAAAAATATAAATATTAACTATATGAATGGTTTTAACGTGATGCTTAATTTCATCCAATGAGCCTCAATTGGTGTGCCGTGTGGTGACATCATGGTACACTGACGTTTGTCGAGGAAATATATATATTTGCATACAAATACTTAATAGTTTTGTACGGCTAATGAATCAATCATGAATTAAGTTATGTCATTGAATTAATTAATGCAATTACGACAGTATCACCGCCTTTAGGTTTTTTCTTAAAGGCTTTAGGCTTATTAAATCCTAGCTGGCGTATTTTTTTCTAAAATTTATTGGTTATAAACAGTTTAAAGGTGAAATGACTTAGCACTTACACAAAAACTTCTAAAATTTAGGCCATAGAATTATAAAAAAAACTGCATTACAAAATGACAGGAAATCCTCCCTGTGGTTATTATTAATTTGTTATACCCTACCTTTAACTTGAAACTTGACAAACCACTTCTCATTATTAAGACTCTTTCAAGTCGGCTGAATTTCAAGGTGACAAGGACTTAGTACGGCTCCTTGTCAAGACTGTTTTCCTCTACAGCTATGGACCCCCCGACAGACCACCTCTGTATAGACTGTAAACGGTCTATATTAATTTTGTACATCGGAGCCCATAGGGGTACACAGTACTCAATCCAATCCCTTTACCAACTCATATGGCCAGCGTGGTATAGTAGGCCAACATCTCCTTTTTAAGACGAGGCCTATGTCCAGCAATGGACTCTTAAAGCCTGTTGATGTGATAACCCATCCCACCTTTTACTAAGAACACAGCTCACTTGATTTTAAGCTCTCACTGCCGTCTATAAACACAATGCATGTGTCATTCCCTATTGATGTTAGTGGAACACAAAGACAATTGTACAACTTTTTTTTTTTTTTTTTTTTTTTTTTTTTTTTTTTTTTTTTTTTTTTTTTTTAAAAAGACAACTCCCGCAGTAGGAATACATTCCTGTGTCACGGGGGACTTTACAAACATATATGAAACGGACACAAAGAACACCCAGACTCAGAACAACAATTTGTGGATCACACAAAGTGTCATTCCATGTGGGGTTTGAACCCACAACACTCGGCGCAATAGGAAGCGGCGTGGCGACCGCTTAAACCACTACGCCATCCGTGCAGTCAGTGCAGTTTATATTTTACTCTCTATGTTTCATTTATATAACTAAAAGATTAAAAGACTCACACCAATATATACAAACAGTATTTTTACTATATTTTTATTGTACAATAAAGAGTTATCTATCCATCTATTTAGAACACTGTTCATCATTCTATGTAGCTCTAATAGTGACCTTTTTCTTATTACATCACATTGAATAGACTTCAAATACCACCTTCTAATAATGTAGGAATTCTATTTGCAAGCGATTATTCACATGTGTATATATTATAAAAGAAAGTACCCGCCACTTCGGATAGTATTTTTGCCTGTTTGGCTGAATGTGATCATCAACAGCCTTTAATTGTCCACTTCTGGACATAGGCCTTTCCTTGAGGATTTGGCCTACTATACCACGCTGGCCAAGTCCAATTCTCTTTCAAAGAGATTTAATCAACTATAATGCCTCATTGTAAAATGAATGTGGAATATATGTATTTAGAAGAAAAAGGATTTTATAGTTTATATATTCCTCTTCTGTAACCCATAGTATTCTGGAGTCCTAAAAATTCAAGTCTTACCTAGTTAAGTGCCAGTCTGCTCCATAGCAATTACTCACACATATTACATATTTAATCATCATCATCAGCCTCCTGCCCACTGCTGAACGAAATTCTTCTAAAGAGCATCATCCATCCATTTTATATTTTAATGGAAGATTTAAATTGTAATTACTCTAGTGAAAATAAATAAAAATAATAAACAAAATAAAATAAGCATATCATTATAGTAAGGACTATACAACTTCATGGATGGCATAGAG